TTTGAGAAACTCGTGCACAGGAGACTATTCATTTATAACGGCACAAAACATACTCAACCCCTGCCAATTTGGATTCAGGAAAAATAAAAGCACTAACGATGCAATCATAAAAATGCTAGATCTGCTTTACACAGCATTGGAAAATAAGGAATATCCACTAGGAATTTTTATTGACCTAAGAAAAGCTTTTGACACTGTAGACCACGACATCCTACTCCACAAACTTGACCATTACGGTACAAGAGGCCATGCGCTTGCATATTTCAAATCTTACCTTACTAATAGGTATCAGTATGTCACCATTAAAGACACAGCATCAACAACTCGGCCACTTGATACTGGAGTTCCGCAGGGAAGTGTCCTTGGTCCCCTGCTCTTCCTCATATACATCAATGATCTTCCAAATGTATCTCAACACCTGAAACCCATTCTCTTTGCTGACGACACGACTTATGTCACCTCTCACCCTAATCTTGCCACCCTCAACACCATTGTTAATGAGGAGCTGATCAAAATATCGACTTGGATGACAGCCAATAACTTACGCTTAACACTGACAAAATCTACTACATTATGTTTGGTAGCAGAGCAGGAGATGCGCAAATTAACATTAAGATCGACAACACTCTAATTGCCAGGCATAATGATGGCAAATTCTAGGCCTATACCTGACAACAACCTGAACTTCAGCACCCATATCCAACACATAACAAAAAAAGTATCCAAAACGGTTGGGATCCTCTCCAAGATACGATACTACGTGCCGCAAACTGCCCTTCTCACACTATACCATTCACTTATATATCCATACCTCACCTATGCTATATGTGCTTGGGGATCAACTGCAGCAACACACCTAAAGCCAATAATAACCCAACAAAAAGCTGCAGTAAGAATAATCACTAAATCCCATCCCTGGCAAGACACCCCCCCCCCACTCTTCATAGATCTAAACTTACTCCCTGTTCAGTACATCCACACTTACTACTGTGCAATCTACATCTACAGGACCTTAAATTCCAATATTAACCTTGACCTATAAACGCTTTCTTGTATAGTTGCGACAGAACCCACAGGCACAATACCAGACACAAACATCTCTATGACATTCCCCGTGTCCGACTAAACCTTTACGAAAATTCAATGTATGTCAAAGGCCCTAAAATCTGGAACACCCTACCTGAAAATTCTAAAACTGCAGACACATTCATCACCTTCAAAACTACCATCAGAAAACATCTTATCTCCCTGATACACCCCGTCAACTAATTACACGAATACCACCTGGTGGTTCACACTTACACTCACTCACCCATTTGACCATGAACAGAAATATCAATCTCAATCTTAAAATAATGAATCCTAACTAGTCATAAGTTGGCCTGTGATACTCCAATACTGAAACTATATACTGTGCCAAAACAAAAGCATTCACATTGCTAAACTCACAAACCAGTATTTAGTCACTTAGCCATAATACCAACTTACCTCATAATTTTGTAATATTTTAAACTTAAGATTTAATTTAAGTCTGCCCGAAATGCCTAGCCATGCTAGGTGTTCTAGTGGTACACTCTGTAATTATTATTTTACTACATGTAAACCACACAATAACCAAATTCTGTAAACTCAGCATTGTAATCCTTAGTTAGTTTAATATGTTTATTATGCACCCCATACCCATCCTGTGGGCGGTAGTCAAAAGATTACAGAGGTACATAATTGGTCCAGGGACTGGACTCCAAAGTTTTGATAGCTGAGCAAGTTACAGAGGTAATGAACTCACAATTTACAAAGGTAATGAACTCACAATTTACAAAGGTAATGAACTCACAATTTACAAAGGTAATGAACTCACAATTTACAAAGGTAATGAATAGAGAATAAACTTTGAATTTGAATTTGAATATATCAGGAGAGAGAACTTAATATAATGTAAGCCGTCAGTGACCCTTATAAACCCAAGATGAACTACGACTCTACTACACAAGTGGCCTTATAAACCCCAACAACAACAACATCAACAACTACACACTATAATACGGTAATATCACTATTAATAACAATATTTATATCCAGCTAATGCATTATTGTTTTTCCTAATAATGTGGAGTAGTAATTAGTACTCCAGGTTGACTGACTAGGCCTCAGTGTGAGCCTCATCCTGGACTTGACTTACCTGGGTCCAGGAGACCATGTACACCAGGATGAATTGTACTCATGGGGGAGCGCTAAACCCATAGGATTATATAGCACCTGTGAGAGGGGAGGGATATAAGGTACTCAGGCTCAGTTCAGGGAACTGGAGCACAGATCCTAATGGAAATAAGTCACTTTGACTTTTTTGTGTTATCCCAGGTTGTCTACACATATATTCCCCTCAAGGAAGGTTCCTTGATGTTGGTGAGGGGCTCTTGATTTAGGGAATTGGATCTGTGCTCCAGTTCCCCGAATTAAGCCTGAATGCCTTCCACATCCCTCCCAGGCGCTGTATAATCCTCCGGGTTTAGCGCTTCCCCCTTTATTATAATAATAATACACATATATTGCTGTGTATGATACTCTTATGTAATTGTATTTTTGTATACCTGAATAAACTTACTATCCAGTTCCCTAGATCAAGAGCCCCTCACCAGCATCAAGGAACCTGCCTTCAGGAAAGATGAATTACAACTAACTGGATATTGTGAATGTTGAAGACAGTAAAACAATTGAAGATAATTCACATTTATATAATTGCTAACAGCACTGGTTAGAATATCTTGCCAAGTTTGTCAAAAATGGCAACCGAAACATGTATAGTACTAGGGGAGGGGAACACAACTTTGTGGTACCCAGGTAAACTCCAGGTAAACTCCAGGTACCCACAGTAGGTGGTCAGGCTTCAAACATCTCTTATTTTACAGCAATAAAGTGGAATGGACTGCCTGCACATGTCATAGCCTATTATAGCATAAGCCAGTTCAAGAAGACAGCCAGAACGTACTTAAAGAATGATGCTACAGAAAAGGAGGAGAGTGATTTCTTGTATAGCTAACATACATGTACCTGTTACTGTAACATACATGTACCTGTTACTGTAACATACATGTACCTGTTACTGTAGCATACATGTACCTGTTACTGTAACATACATGTACCTATTACTAGTAACATACATGTACCTGTTTACTGTAACATACATGTACTGTTACTGTAACATACATGTACCTGTTACTGTAACATACATGTACCTGTTACTGTAACATACATGTACCTGTTACTGTAACATACATGTGCCTGTTACTGTAACATACATGTACCTGTTACTGTAACATACATGTACCTGTTACTGTAACATACATGTACCTGTTACTATAACATACATGTACCTGTTACTGTAACATACATGTACCTGCTACTGTAACATACATGTACCTGTTACTGTAACATACATGTACCTGTTACTGTAACATACATGTACCTGTACTGTAACATACATGTACTGTTACTATAACCATGCATGTACCTATTACTGTAACATACATGTACCTATTACTGTAACATACATGTACCTGTTACTGTAACATACATGTACCTGTTACTGTAACATACATGTACCTGTTACTGTAACATACATATACCTGTTACTGTAACATACATGTACCTGTTACTGTAACATACATGTACCTGTTACTGTAACATACATGTACCTATTACTGTAACATACATGTACCTATTACTGTAACATACATGTACCTGTTACTGTAACATACATGTACCTATTACTGTAACATACATGTACCTGTTACTGTAACATACATGTACCTGTTACTATAACGTACATGTACCTGTTACTGTAACATACATGTACCTATTACTGTAACATACATGTACCTGTTACTGTAACATACATGTACCTGTTACTGTAACATACATGTACCTGTTACTGTAACATACATGTACCTGTTACTGTAACATACATGTACCTGTTACTGTAACATAATGTACCTGTTACTGTAACATACATGAACCTTTACTTAACATACATGTACTGTTACTATAACATACATGTACCTATTACTGTAACTACATGTACCTATTACTGTAACATACATGTACCTGTTACTGTAACATACATGTACTTTACTGTAACATAACATGTACCTATTACTTAACATACATGTACCTATTACTGTAACATACATGTACCTGTTTACTGTAACATACTGTACCTGTTACTAATAACGTACATGTACCTGTTACTGTAAAATACATGTACCATTACTGTAAACATACATGTACCTGTTACTGTAACATACATGTACCTGTTACTTTAACATACATGTACCTGTTACTGTAACATACATGTACCTGTTACTATAACATACATGTACTATTACTGTAACATAATGTACCTATTACTGTAAATACATGTACCTGTTACTGTAACATACATGTACCTGTACTGTAACATACATGTACCTGTTACTATAACATACATGTACCTATTACTGTAACATACATGTACCTATTACTGTAACATACATGTACCTGTTACTATAACATACATGTACCTGTTACTGTAACATACATGTACCTGTTGCTGTAACATACATGTACCTGATACTATAACATACATGTACCTGTTACTGTAACATACATGTACCTGTTACTGTAACATACATGTACCTGTTACTATAACATACATGTACCTGTTACTGTACATACATGTACTGTTACTGTACATACATGTACCTTTTACTAGTAACATACTTTTACCTGTAACTGTAACATACATGTACCTGTTACTGTAATGTACATGTACCTGTTACTGTAACATACATGTACCTGTTACTGTAACATATATATACCTATTATTGTTTTACTATTTGTTTTAATAGTGATATAATTTTTTGCAATAAAACTTGTAAACTTTGAGCCACATATTTTTTTTCTCATTTGTGCATCCAATGTTTCCTAACTGCAGTTCATTTTGATTTACAAATATGTATATTTAGTTTCCAGGTTCACAATGACAAAGAGTGTTAGGGCTAAAAAGAGAAAGAATGCAATTTTCAAAGGTGAAATTCCAAAGGTTGGGAAGACAATAAAAAAGACTCAGAATGAAACCAAGACAGATTTTCAGCTCGTAAAGATTATATCAAGAGGCAGCTGGCAAAAAATACGGATCAAGATCTTACAAAAGAAAGCAAAACATATTTGTAAGTATAGTCCATGCAATATCTTTAATGTTCACATTGTGTACTGTAAATGTGTTGTTGTGAAGGAATCATCCAATACTGCAAGACACTTGTATGGCAAGACTTTCCAACATATAAAAAAGACATAATGTTCAGAGCAACTCTTTATTTACAGTGTTTCATGCTGTGTAAAACTTCATAAGTCAGTACAAGGAACAGTGCCACATGACAACATGTACAGTGATAAGTGGGTTAACAAACAACTCCTTACCTCTCTTCCTCTCACTTCACATATTTCTGTATAGTGTATATATCCATGCCACACTGATCCTTGTATTGCCTTGAAAATTTTCCTCCAAACAAAAGTTTTTTAGCACATAATATCTTTTTATCCCATATACAAGACTGCTGGCAGCACCATTGGCCCAATATGATGACCAATGATTTTTTTTTTATAAAACCATTTCTGTGCTTCTGGCAGTCTTTACTCCATTATTGGCACTCATGAGAGAGTGTTCTCTTGACTACAGTTTTACCATGCCAGATATACCCATGCTCATTTCATGGAATGGTACCCTGATCCACTGTGTCAGGGTATGCTAATCATCCACCCTGTCTTGGTGAATTATCCTTTTAAACCAAGACACTTAAGTGAAATACCTGTCTTAAATGAAATGTCATAAATAGATACGCATCAGATATAAGACTGTGAGAGAGGAGGACAGGCAAGTAAGCATGTCAAGGTGTTGAAGGGAAGCTTGAAAGTAAACTTAGCACTATGATTAAAAAATCTTTCATCCTGACCTGGATATTCTTAAGAGTGGCACTGAGTGCCTTTCCATGAGATGGCCATGTGTGGATCTGTTGTGCTAGGTGTGAGGTCATGACAGTACCTTTTCCTACAATAGTTAGTGTTAAAGTAAGGATGGCCAGCCACTTAATTACAGCTTGATTAACAAATACTTGCTGATCACTAACTCCAACTAATAATGTTACCGGTGATCTGCTAGAGGGAACCCAAGGCATCTGTCTTATTTATCATTATATGTAATGAAATTTATATATAAAAGTAAATCAGTATTTGTAATACAAGTTGTATTCAGTAGTTAAGGTAGCAATGAATGCCAGTTCTAGTGAATGTGTGACAGTTGACATAACTGTGCATGCTAGGTAAAGGTATGGGAACAACTTGTATCTTCAAAAAGGGAAAAAATAAATACATAAGAGAGGCTTGCAAAAACTTAAGCAGCCATAAGCTAATTTGTATATCATCTTTTGCATATGACTGTAAGTACTGTAATAGATTTACTGTCTAATAAAATATTAATTTTTACTTTTTCTATGTAACACCATAATTTTGAATATTTAAAGGATTTACTCTCAAGACTGAGCCACAGCAGTATCTATGTACGTCAAGATGGAGTGAATGGGTTGCTAGAAATAGTGAAGAAATATGAGGTGGTAACCTTGGAACCTAACCTACCATCAGTGCTTCAAGGACTAGCCCCATTGTTGTTTGACTCTGACACACTCATTAGATCATCTGCCATTAAATTCATGGAAGCGCTCATCCTGAAGGTGAGTAATGACACCTAAAAAATTTTCAAGTGATAAATGTAGATGTTATTTAACATCAGTTTTTAATTTTTAAATTTATTTGTGAGGTTACATAAAAATATTTGTCTGAATGCTTGGATAAGTATCTGCTGTGTTCTCAGGAAAGGCATTTCAACAAATATACCTATGAATAATAAGAATGTTGTAATTCCTCATATTTTTATGTTTTCATATTGCTCACAGACATACAGTACAAGTAAATTGTCTATTCAGATGAATGTTTTGCTTTGTGACAAGGTTCAATTTATAGGCTATGAGCTGTTATCCTACCTCAGCTCATTTCAAAGTCTGTCTCTAAGTTATACTATGGTACCTAGGATGCAACTTACAACAGTCAACTAATACCCAGGTACCTATTTTCTGCCAGGGGAACAAGAGCAGCAGGTATAGGAGACATGTCTAGTATGTCTTGTTCCATCTGGGAATTATACCCAGATGCTGTCAGTTCTTGATCAAACACAGTTGCTTGAATTATAGGCAAACTGGTACAGTACTTTACAAGCTGATGGGGGATATAGTTTTAGAGTATAGTGGAGTACAAGAAAAATAAACTTCAAGTTCAATAGAATCTAGTGACCATGTAAAGCTCATTCAAACACACCCTCTGTGCTTATAATTATCAAATCCTATAAAAGAACTCTTTCTTTCTTCTTTCAACACATCGGCCGTATCCCACCGAGGCGGGGTGGCCCAAAAGGAAAAACGAAAGTTTCTCCTTTTACATTTAGTAATATATACAGGAGAAGAGGTTACTAGCCCCTTGCTCCCGGCATTTTAGTCGCCTCTTACAACATGCATGGCTTACGGAGGAAGAATTCTGTTCCACTTCCCCATGGAGATAAGAGGAAATAAACAAGAATAAGAACTAGAAAGAAATAGAAGAAAACCCAGAGGGGTGTGCATATATATGCTTGTACATGTATGTGTAGTGTGACCTAAGTGTAAGTAGAAGTAGCAAGACGTACCTGAAATCTTGCATGTTCATGAGTTCATGAGACAGAAAAAAGGACACCAGCAATCCTACCATCATGTAAAACAATTACAGGCTTTCGTTTTACACTCACGTGGCAGGACGGTAGTACCTCCCTGGGTGGTTGCTGTCTACCAACCTACTACCTAGGATAAAAGAACTCCTGGTCATCATTCTCTTATTTATTTTTCTTAGACAAACCATAGTCTCTTGTGCAGCTTATTGTTCAAGAGATGCTGTTATGAAGGACTGACAAATTCAGTTTATTTGTTTTATGGAATAAAATTAGATTTGTGAGGATTTATGTAAGTAGTAACAAGAGCAGTCTTATTCCCCTTAATGTGTCTTTATTTTGCTCTACTCAGTAGTTCCACTTGATAGTCTTCCACATTTTCTCTACATTAGCTTTTCCCTTCCAGTATACTAGATTTGTTTTTTACTCTGGCCCAAAAATACCTTTTAATTTTGCATAATAATGACCCCAAAGTACAAAAGTAGAGAAGCTGTCAGTTGTTCAAAGCCTAAGAGAAGTCATGAAGTGCTTCCCATCAGTGAATAATTGATAATTCTCCACTTATTGTGCATAATTTATCAATTAAACTTTATAATAGGTATATATAGGACTTATATACAGTGGACCCCCGGTTAACGATTTTAATCCGTGCAAGAGGGCTCATCGTTATGCGAAATAATCGTTATGCGAATTAATTTTCCCCATAAGAAATAATGGAAATAAAATTAATCCGTGCAAGACGCCCAAAAGTATGAAAAAAATTTTTTTTTACCACATGAAATGTTAATTTTAATACACACAAACTGAAAAAGGCATGCACAGTTACATGACACTTACTTTTATTGAAGATCTGGTGATGATTGATGGGATGGGAGGAGGGGAGAGCATTATCTTCTTACTGTTTAGAAGGGGAATCCCCTTCCATTAGGACTTGAGGTAGCAAGTCCTTTTCTGGGGTTACTTCCCTTCTTCTTTTAATGCCACTAGGACCAGCTTCAGAGTCACTGGACCTCTGTCGCACAACAAATCTGTCCATAGAGCTCTGTACCTCCCGTTTCTTCAAGACTTTCCTAAAATGGGCCATAACATTGTCATTGAAATAGTCACAAGCACGGCTTGCAACAGCTGTGTCAGGGTGATTTTCATCTATAAAGGTTTGCAGTTCAAACCACTCTGCACACATTTCCTTAATCTTTGAAGTAGGCACAATGGATTCCACAACTGGCATAGGCTTCTCAGGGTTAGCCCCAAACCCTTCAAAATCTTTCTTAATTTCCATACTAATTCTCACCCTTTTTACCACAGGGTTGGCACTAGAAGCTTTCTTGGGGCCCATGGTCACTTATTTTCCAGAAACACCACCGAAAACACTGTAATAATACGAAATATTCCGAGTGTATGCTTGGATGTTACCGCGGAGGCTGGCTGGTAAACAATGGGACGGCCGGCACATGTGAGGGCACATTGGACGCGTCTCGGACGAAAATCGGTATGCGGGTTTTTAATCGGTATGCGGGGCAAAAATTTTGCGATAAAAGTAATCGTTATGCGGAAAAATCGCTATGCGATGCCATCGTTATGCGGGGGTCCACTGTATAGGGTCTGCTACTACCCGCGGTTTTGGTATCCACAGCAGATCCCTGGAACGTATCCCCGTGGATACAGGGGTCCGACTGTATTTATAAAACTTCTGTTTAGTTAAGCATTGAATATTACTTCATTACGTGAAGATGTTTATATATTAGTCTATACTTTCATCTGCCTTTGTCTTGCAGGTTGGGTCTAACATTGCACCATACTTCAATATTATTGCAACTCATTTGTCTTGTGCTATGGTTCACCTCAACATCAATGTACAAGGAGATTCTCTCAAACTAATGCATGTGCTTATCAAGCACACTCCTGCACTTATTGCCCGCCATGCTAATACACTGTTAAAGAACTTTGTCAACCTCATATCCAGAAAGGTATGTAATGCTTTGGAAGCGTCTTCCATCAATCATTGATAAATGCAATTGAACTTCTGTAATTCATAAAGGTCAGGCTCCCAGTGGTAAGTGAAATTCTGAAGACGAGGATAATGAAAAAATTTTGATGTCGGAATTAATTAATATTATTTTGGAAGTATATTCTTAAATATTTCTCTAATGTGCTCAGTGTTGACATTCATATAAAGGAATCAGTATATTTTAATAAAATCCTATGAATATTTTTCAGTGTAAAGATCATTCACCATGCAAAAACTATGAAAAATATGAATCAAAGCTGTTCGCTAAATGGCCTTCAGTAAAAAGCATACTTGAATCAATGTAGACTAGAAGGCAAAGAATTCTTGGGTTTATCTATAGATGACTGAACAGCCAGGGCAAAATTTTAAATTTTGAGGCTGTAAGCAGTGTCATGCTTACAGTGGACCCCCGGTTAACGATATTTTTTCACTCAAGAAGTATGTTCAGGTGCCAGTACTGACCGAATTTGTTCCCATAAGGAATATTGTGAAGTAGATTAGTCCATTTCAGAGCCCCAAACATACACGTACAAACGCACTTACATAAATACACTTACATAATTGGTCGCATTCGGAGGTGATCGTTATGCGGGGGTCCACTGTATTTTGTTACTTCACATAAAGGAAATAAAATATCCTGCATGACAGTCATAGTCACATTTGTGCTACACTGAGAAATAATATTCATCTCATGTTCATATGGAATTTATTACTGGAGCTGACTTGAACTGGGTAGGTGTTGTTTGTAATATTACTAACACAGATGTGTCTTCCAATATGTTATGTATTAAGTGTAATATCGTGTACAGTGGTACCCTGAGTTTCGTACATAATTCATTCCAGAAGGCTGTTCAAGTGCCGTTACCGAACAAATTTGTTCCCTTAAGGAATAATGTAAATTAGATTAGTCCGTTTCAGACCCCCAAAAATACACTTAGAAAAGCACTTACGATAATACACTTACATAATTGTTCGAGTTGGGAGCTGTACGAAACTCAGGGTGCCACTGTACCTTGTTTATAACATAGTATTTCACTAAACAGTGGAGATAAATTGTATAAATACCGACTCAATGGAAAAATAGACACAAATGCAGTATAATGCAGTCCTTTATTGACTACATTTTTCCCACATAGTGGGCAAAAGTAGTCAGTAAAGTGATGATCACATATACTGCATTTGTGTCTTTTTCCTTCACTCAACAATATTTATGATACTGATATGTGATCACTAGTGTTGCTGGAGCCAAACATAGCATTACCACAAGTACAGTCTCGTAAACTTGCTACCATTACCCTTTTCACTCGGTATCATTAGTTAATCTATAAATTGGGTTTTCATCATGATTGTTATTGAAATCTAAAAATTTCCAGTAATAACACAGCCATAGACAGCATGTTGATCCACATTATGTAATATTACAGGCTTCCAGCACACAGACGTCTTCTAAATTGGAATCCGGCATGGTGGATTTCTCTCGTATTTTGCATGTCAATCCTAGCAACAGTTTGACGTCTCCCAAGTGGCGGCTACAGTTACTGCAGGAACTGTCCGGCTTCCTAGAAGCCATCCTAGTGGAGCAGAAACATGTTGAGGAGCAAGTGCCTTATACAATTTGGGAGGTGAATATATACAACCTATACTTCATTCGTCTGTATTTTGATAATATTGACATTTTTCTTTGTCATTTCCATTATTTACTTTGAATTATACAGGATGAAATTTGTGCATGAAACTTAAAAAAAAAAAAAATGTTAACTTGGTTACATATCAAAATAGTTGTGGCTATTCACTATTTATATCTGAGGAGTTCAGTGGGTAACTTAATACTGTAATAATGATGACCTATTATAGCTGTTAATGGTTCCAGGGATCCTCGTCCATATGTTCTCATTCTGGGGCTCTTAAATTAGAAAGAACATAATAAAGAAAGTTTTGTTTATTTTTATAAAAAAGTTGTGTACCTTGTGCTCTTTGGCAATGGGTTAATATGGTACTGTTGTCCTGTTGTGGGGTATTGTAGCTTTTATTCAAGTAATATTTAATTTCATATTTGGGAGGCCTTGTTTGAGGCTAGGTTGCATGTGATGATCTACAGAACCATTAACAGATAACAGAAAATAAAATTAGATGGATAATATTAATGTTTGCAGACTGTTGTGGTTGGGAGTGTGCCACCAGTGGTAACTGCAGATGTGTTGTCCAGTACCACACAAGAGATGTGGCTCCTCTCGGACCCTGAACAACTGAAGAAATTCTCTCTTTCCATTATTCCTCTTCTCTTTCAAATTTGGGCAGAAGTTAGACCTGGAGGAACCCAAGATTATGCAGGTTAGTCTGGAAGTACTATTAATATTAAGGGGTTTATTTTCATTCTTATATTAGCAGGACTCTAGTCTGGCAGGCCGGAGTTGAGTCATGGAGGTGGGAAGTACAGTGCCTGCACTCTGAAGGAGTGTTAAAATTAATGTTGCAGTTTTATAACTAGTGTAAGCATGTCTCTGGCAAGACAGTGATGGAGTGAATGACTATGAAAAATTTTCTTTTTCATGCCACCCTGCCTTCGTGGGAAACGGCCACTGTGTTAATAAATAAATAATTAGCACTTTGTTTATATAAAATGTGTTCTTCCATGTACATTTTTTTATGAAACTACACATAACTAGTTCAGATTGGTCTTAAAATTGGTAAATCCCAGTATTCACCTTATAGCTAATAATAATAAAAAAGTAGTTATATAGATGCAAATGTTAATGTTTCATATAATTACACAACTTAATTCTTTATATTTAGTGTGACTATTACACCACACTCTTAAAACTGGTTATTAATGTGAGATGGGCACGTGCAGTACAGTGGAACCCCAACATTTGTGAAGGATGCATTCAGAGAGGCCACACAAATCTGAAATCCACTAACAATACAAAATTATGTTGCATATTAAATTTTGTTTTGTATTTGGGGTCGTTTGGTGGAACACAAAATGACCAAATGGGCTTAAATATATATTTAATATATCACTCTGAAATGACCAAATGGGCTTAAATATATATTTAATATATCACTCTAATCTTGTTAATATTGAGATTTATATGAAAGTGACCATAAAGAAGAGAGACTTGGGTATATGGTGAATGTTTACTTTACACACTATTGCATTTTTGCTTTGCTTGTACAGCTTACTTGTTCAATACCTGTGTCTACATTACTGTAGTATATTGCTGTAGAAGAGTGGTTATTTGGTTAAGTTCTAATTTGTTTACCTGTCTTTAGGAAGTAATACCTTGAGTGAGGAAAGTGTGGAAACTCTGAACTGTATTGTAAGAATCATTAGACAACTTTGGCACATAACACAAGTTTGCCTGCACAGCCATCCAACAAAAGTAAGTTCTTCTCGACCATTTTCTACAATAATAATAATATAAAAATAGTAAAAGAATGTTGTTAATTTACTTTCCTTTGCAAATATCTGACTGAAGGTCCTCTGTCCTCTGCAGTGTACATGGTTCATGGGTGCATTGAAGGCCAGTTACATGACTAAAATTATGGTGGGATTTCCATATTACTGCCATCTAGGAGCAGTTCAGAACAAGAAGAAGAAACCAAAGTGAGTATGGTATTAATATATGACAGTAGTATCTGTTTTTGAAGCTTACTTCACCTACAGGGATGTTTGCTTAAGCTTTTCAGTTCAAGAAGCATTGACTCCATTAATTTTCCATCATGTACGAAAAGTGGTTATATGTAACATTCATAATGGGCAGAAATAACATGAATATTCCCACATTAAGATTTTGAAAGGGCTACAGATACTATTAGCTTGCATGTCAGCATTTACATTTTTGGTGAAGACATTGAAATGCAAGACAAATGTGGGTTATAGTGTTTGTAAAAAGCAAAGTGAAAGTGATCAGATTATTTAACATTTACACAATCATTTATTGTAGCACCTTGATTTTCTGAAAATATTGTATTTCCTTGTACAAACAAAATATAAATTTTGCACTGTATGCAGTTGCTTGATCTGTTTGCAAAGATCATTTCTTTAACATTTGTGACTGGTTCATTTAACTTTCTTTAGAGTAAATTACTTCCTGAGTTTCAATGTTCCAAATAAAATAACTATTATCGATATGTTGTGCAAGTGTAGCTTCTCTTCATCAACAGAATGGTAGATAAGAAAATGCAGCCTGATGGAGATTATAGCTTGAGACATTGTGATGATCTTAACGTGTCTCTGGCACTCTTTGCTATGCAGATGTCTTCCTCTGAAGGCCTTGCAGAGAATGCACTGAATTTCTTTACGAGTAGGTATAATTTGACATTCTGGATAGGTCAAATGATAATCACAAAACCAATCTCAACATATTTTATTTATGCAAAGTGCTAGATTCTTGTGTCATTCATCTCAAGCCTCCATCATCTAATTGTGGTAAGGTCTCAAACTCATGAGGCTGTTAGGACTTAAGACCTATACAGTACCTATACAACACCAAGATGAAACATTTATAATGCACTATTAATGTGAAATATTTTCTTTGCTACATAATGCTAATAAAATGCACTCAAAAATTGTAGATGCTTACTTTTGTTGAGACACTGGTTTATGATTAGGTTGGTCAGTTTGTAACTGTTAAGCATCTCACTCCAACTAAATAAGATGCTAACTCCACTAGAAGCTGCTGTAAATTCATTGTTCTTTAGCTTTTATTGCAGATGAGCATTTTTCAATTCCAATGCTATAGTCACAATATAATAAAGCTTTATTGGTGTATGACAGAACTGCTTCGTGATGGAAATCGTGATGGACAGTACAATCTGGGTTCTGTAGTAAATATTTTGTCAGATCTACTGCAACTAATCCCTGAAAAGCAAGCTGACAGTCTGCTCGCTGCTGCACAGACTTGTTACACTCGCCTCCACCCTCTCAAGAAGGACCGCGCACTCTTGCTTCAGATTCTTCTTGCTGCTACCGATATTGACCATCCACAACTCTGGAAGTAAGAGTTAACCGGATTTTATGTTTTATTACTGATCTAATGATTTCTGTATATATTTTAGACTAAAATTTTGAAAATTACCATAACTCTTTTATCTCATTATTGTCTGGTCCTTGAATTGGATCCCAAACTACTATCCTAATAAACAAAGGACCAAAAGAAGATGATCAGGAGCATAATGGTAGAACATTTAGGTCACAGATATTAGTCGACCTGTGAGTAATGTGATGTTGAGGTAGAACAACAGCATTTAGTTTGTATATTAAACTGTGTAAAAGATTACTATTTTTTTTTTAACACATCAGCCATTTCCCACTGAGGCAGGGTGACCCAGAAAGAAAGAAAAACCTACAAAGAAAGAAAAATTTTTTATCATCATTCAACATTTTCACCATCGCTCATACATAATCACTGTCTTTGCAGAGGCGCTCAGATACGACATTTTAGATGTCCCTCCAAACTACCAATATCCTAAACCCCTCCTTTAAAGTGCAGGCACTGTACTTCCCATTTCCAGGACTGAAGTCTGGCTTACTGGTTTCCCTGAATCCCTTCACAAAAAATTACCCTGCTCACGCTCCAACAGCTCATCAGGTCCCAAAAACCATTCGTCTCCATTCACTCCTAACATGCTCATGCATGCTTGCTGAAAGTCAAAGCCCCTCACCCACAAAACCTCCTTTACCCCTCCCGCCAACCTGTTCGGGGATAACCCCTACCCCGCCTTCCTTCCTTGATAGATTTATATGCTCTTCAAGTCATTCTACTTTGTTCCATTCTCTCTAAATGAAGAAGAATACTATTTATCACTTATAAATACTTGTAGTAGTAAGATAACATGATTTGAGATGTAACAAGTTTTACCGAGGTTATAAGGTATTTGATATAGTACCTTTGATCTATAGATATTTTTATAACCAGCATCACTGTGGAATCTTGATGGAGAGAATTTAAGATTATACAGCTTGATTGCTAAATTTCAGGTCCATCTTATGGGTATGTCTTAACTTCCATTGGTGGGCCCTGCCCACATATGATCACATCTGCACTGCTGCATTGCTCCACTTTTTTCCCTGACTCCACTATAACTGGCTGTGTATTAGATTGATGAAGCCCCAGGTAGGCAAAACATCTCTCAATAAAGACACCCAGGTGTTGCATCAATGTCTTATTCATTGGACAGTTATAACCAGAGGTAGTTACTGCCAATCTTACTTGAATAGTAGTCAACTTGATTAATTTAGCTGAGAAGAAAATTTAGCACTTTTTAATATAATAATAATAATAATAATAATTGACACAGTTACTTTTTGCTGATGATACTGTGCTTATGGGAGATTCTAAAGAAAAATTACAAAGGTTAGTGGATGAGTTTGAGAATGTGTGTAAAGGTAGAAAGTTGAAAGTGAACATAGAAAAGAGTAAGGTGATGAGGGTATCAAATGATTTAGATAAAGAAAAATTGGATATCAAATTGGGGAGGAGGAGTATGGAAGAAGTGAATGTTTTCAGATACTTGGGAGTTGACATGTCGGCGGATGGATTTATGAAGGATGAGGTTAATCATAGAATTGATGAGGGAAAAAAGGTGAGTGGTGCGTTGAGGTATATGTGGAGTCAAAAAACATTATCTATGGAGGCAAAGAAGGGAATGTATGAAAGTATAGTAGTACCAACACTCTTATATGGATGTGAAGCTTGGGTGGTAAATGCAGCAGCGAGGAGACGGTTGGAGGCAGTGGAGATGTCCTGTCTAAGGGCAATGTGTGGTGTAAATATTATGCAGAAAATTCGGAGTGTGGAAATTAGGAGAAGGTGTGGAGTTAATAAAAGCATTAGTCAGAGGGCAGAAGAGGGGTTGTTGAGGTGGTTTGGTCATTTAGAGAGAATGGATCAAAGTAGAATGACATGGAAAGCATATAAATCTATAGGGGAAGGAAAGAGGGGTAGGGGTCGTCCTCGAAAGGGTTGGAAAGAGGGGGTAAAGGAGGTTTTGTGGGTGAGGGGCTTGGACTTCCAGCAAGCGTGCATGAGTGTGTTAGATAGGAGTGAATGGAGACGAATGATACTTGGGACCTGACGATCTGTTGGAGTGTGAGCAGGGTAATATTAGTGAAGGGATTCAGGGAAACCGGTTATTTTCATATAGTCGGACTTGAGTCCTGGAAATGGGAAGTACAATGCCTGCACTTTAAAGGAGGGGTTTGGGATATTGGCAGTTTGGAGGGATATGTTGTGTATCTCTATACGTATATGCTTCTAAACTGTTGTATTCTGAGCACCTCTGCAAAAGCAGTGATAATGTGTGAGTGTGGTGAAAGTGTTGAATGATGATGAAAGTATTTTCTTTTTGGGGATTTTCTTTCTTTTTTTTTGGGTCACCCTGCCTCGGTGGGAGACGGCCGACTTGTTGAAAAAAAAAAAAAAATAATAATAATAATAATAATAATAATGGGAGATTCTAAAGAAAAATTGCAAAGGTTAGTGGATGAGTTTGGGAATGTGTGTAAAGGTAGAAAGTTGAAAGTGAACATAGAAAAGAGTAAGGTGATGAGGGTATCAAATGATTTAGATAAAGAAAAATTGGATATCAAATTGGGGAGGAGGAGTATCGAAGAAGTGAATGTTTTCAGATACTTGGGAGTTGATGTGTCGGCGGATGGATTTATGCAGGATGAGGTTAATCATAGAATTGATGAAGGAAAAAAGGTGAGTGGTGCATTGAGGTATATGTGGAGTCAAAAAACATTATCTATGGAGGCAAAGAAGGGAATGTATGAAAGTATAGTAGTACCAACACTCTTATATGGATGTGAAGCTTGGGTGGTAAATGCAGCAGCGAGGAGACGGTTGGAGGCAGTGGAGATGTCCTGTCTAAGGGCAATGTGTGGTGTAAATATTATGCAGAAAATTCGGAGTGTGGAAATTAGGAAAAGGTGAGGAGTTAATAAAAGTATTAGAGGGCAGAAGAGGGGTTGTTGAGGTGGTTTGGTCATTTAGAGAGAATGGATCAAAGTAAAATGACATGGAAAGCATATAAATCTATAGGGGAAGGAAGGCGGGGTAGGGGTCGTCCTCGAAAGGGTTGGAGAGAGGGGGTAAAGGAGGTTTTGTGGGCGAGGGGCTTGGACTTCCAGCAAGCGTGCGTGAGCGTGTTAGATAGGAGTGAATGGAGACGAATGGTACTTGGGACCTGACGATCTGTTGGAGTGTGAGCAGGGTAATATTTAGTGAAGGGATTCAGGGAAACCGGTTATTTTCATATAATCGGACTTGAGTCCTGGAAATGGGAAGTACAATGCCTGCACTTTAAAGGAGGGGTTTGGGATATTGGCAGTTTGGAGGGATATGTTGTGTATCTTTATACGTATATGCTTCTAAACTGTTGTATCCTGAGCACCTCTGCAAAAACAGTGATAATGTGTGAGTGTGGTGAAAGTGTTGAATGATGAAAGTATTTTTCTTTTTGGGGATTTTCTTTCTTTTTTGGGTCACCCTGCCTCGGTGGGAGACGGCCGACTTGTTGAAAAAAAAAAAATAAATAATAATAATAATAATAATAATAATAATAATAATAATAATAATAATGTCAGTACTGTAAAGATATGCTGCCCAGCAGCAGTGGAGGAGACCTGAAGAAAGTAAACATTTATCCCTTATTCTCTTTATCCTGATTGAAGCTGGCTTTTGATCCAGAAAATTGTTGAATCTGCTTCCTCAGATCAAATCTGATTACAGTGGACCTCTGCATAACGATTACCTCCGAATGCGACCAATTATGTAAGTGTATTTATGTAAGTGCGTTTGTACGTGTATGTTTGGGGGTCTGAAATGGACTAATCTACTTCACAATATTCCTTATGGGAACAAATTCGGTCAGTACTGGCACCTGAACATACTTCTGGAGTGAAAAAATATCGTTAACCGGGGGTCCACTGTACTTGACTTCCCATTCCCCAGATGTTATATAACCCCTGTCAGTTTAGCACTTCACTACAAATAATAAAATACTGTAATGCACAAATAACCTGCACATAGGAGAAAGAAACTTTATGACTATTTTGATCTGTCTTGGACCATTGACTAGTCACACTAACACACAAAGGTAAGGAAGCCAGTATATATATGAGCCAATCATGGCATTGTGCCTTTGTGTTCTTAATAATGTGTTGACTTTGGCAGATGTGGAAGCAACAGTGTTTGGGTGTATCAGGTTGTGGAAGACCTGGCTAGTGGCAGTGCTCGTGACCTCCTCCTGCACACTGCCATCATTCTTCGCCTGCGTAACAACACTGAGATCAAACAGTTGCTTCTTGCTAGAAAAGATGAGATAAGAGGTGAGTGGGATGACTCATGAGCCACATAATCAGGAGTATAAGTTACCGGGTCAGCAGAAAAACCGCAATGAAAACTGGGTAACTGATTGTAATATTTAGTATCATTTTTTGGAAGGATGGGATATAAAATACATTAGCCAAGGTCAACTTGAATTTATTACAGTCAGAAGGTAAGAGTAGTAGTAATTTACTGTGTGTAGCTATAGAAGCAGAGCCATGCTTGCAATGTCCCGACTTCAATAATTTGTTTATCATATCAGTTAAAATTTCTGTTTGTTATAGCACTTAATACTTCTTTTAATTGTTTAAATTTTGAATTCAAAGCATTGGTTTGCCACATTCTTTACAAAGAAAAAATGTATAATTTAATGAACTGATTATCTAAATTTTTTCCTCTTTCAGAAAAAATTGAAAGCAAAGGCATCCAAGGTATGACACCAGGTGAAGTAAATAAAAAACTACATCTTCTCTTGAAGGATTGAGAATAACTATGTTGAAAAATAAGCACAATAAAAATAAACATTTTTACCCGTATTATTTTTTCTTTCATTTAGTCCTTCTCAAATCTGTGTGATATACTTAGAGTGCATCTTTGTAAAAGTTGGTGTGCAAATTTGCACTCAAACATTAACAAAAGTCATAACAAAAACATAAGTCAAAACAAACTTTAACAATAATGAACACAGAATGACCCAAACTTGTTTAGTATTTTCATAAATAACATAAGAATCATTAATAAAAAAGGCATACAGTGAAAGTGGTATTACAGAATTAATTCCAAGTGCAACAGCTATGAAACAATATTAATTTTTATGTTTCTGAATGAATGACATACAGGATAATTCATTAGCTTTAGAAACAAATTCCTTCATTTAGGGTGACATTTAACACTGGCAGAACACTGCTCAAGACCTGTGTTTAGTGTCGAGGCTGAGCAAGATGTATACCATCTTACAGCTGTACTTCTTCACCATGTAATAAGAATTAGTCAGCTGTTGTGGCTAGCCTGTCATGCAAGAGGACCTAAAACCCACAATGGAAATAATAAATATTACTTTTTCTTCATTGAGGATGTTTTGATTCGACTTCTGCACCAGCCTTTGTCGGCTGTGGTCGTCTCTCTCTCGCCTGAGTATCGATGACAAATTTCCCCCGTTCTCTCTGGGATGCTTGTCCTCGTCTGTTTTGCCCGCCGGGCATTCTACAGGAGGGGCACCTGTTCATCGGCTTACTTTAAGCCAGCTCCATTTTTTCCGCTCTGCGGAAAATTCTTTATCGGTCTTTGATGTGAAGCCGGTTACTGAACTCAGGTGGGAGTGTGGGCATCCCTCTCTGCTGGGGCTTGGCAAGGGGGTCCACCAGATCTAATTGGAAACTTCAAGTATCTATCTCTATTTACAAAGGAACTTTTGTTCCTTTTCTCTCATCGCCCAGCCTTGGGCAACAATTTTTCCTTGTACCATTGAGAAACCGGGCTCGATATGGCTTATGCTGTCAGTGGCCCTGATAAACCCAACAAAGAAAAAAAAGAAGAAAGATGTTTTGATTCTGATGTAAGGGTCTTGATCCTAGGAATTAGTGCTTTCTTTCCTTGGATTAAACCTGAGTGCCTCCCATTTCCTAGGTACTGTATGACTCAAATGCATTGGTGTGATTATTATTGTATTTAGGGAGAAATGCTAAACCCAAAGGAATCATATAGTGCCTGGGAATGGGAGACAGGTTTAATCCAAGGAAGAGGAACACAAGTTCAGTTCCTTGATGTAGGAGTAGGCTTTCAGATCCTAGTGTAGGGAGAAATATTGTTTATTAATTGTTTTTTATTTTTAAATTGATGGCCATCTGCCAAGGCAAGGTGACCCAGAGAAAACACTGCATTCACTCAATCACTCTTTCCAGAAGTGTGTTGACATTACACTCAGATTACCCTCAGACTCCAACACTCCCACATAGTCCAGAGTGCAAGCACTGTTCTTTCCACCTTCAGGACACAAGTCTGGCTAACTGATTTTCCCTGAATTCCTTCATAAAATTTACTCTCCTCACACTCCAACAGCACATCTATTAAGAACCACTCGTCCATGCACTCCGACCTAACACACTCTGGCAAGGCTGCTGGATACTCAAGCCCCTAAAACTAAAAGCCTCTTGTATACCTCCCGTCTAACCATTCCAACCCAGATTTATACACATTCTTCATATCCCCGTCCACCACTACTTGTCTAAACCACCTCAACAACCCTTCTCAGTCCTCTGACTTATACGCTTGGTCACCCGTCAATCCCTTTTAATTTCTATCCTCCTAATTATCTACATGATAAGTCACACCATACACCACTCTCAAACATGACCACTCAGCTGCCTCCAGCCTCCTCACTGCAACATTCACAACCTATGCCTCACACCCATCACACTCATCACCATCCACCTTTTTTCCCCGCATCTGTTCTGTAGTTCACCTCATCTTTCATAAACCCATCAGTTGAATTATCCACTATAATTAGTGTCCGTCACAAAGCGTGAAGTCAGGAATCTGTGAGCTGACAACCGCAGAGTATAGTTTACTGATTTAACTGCAGTCAGGAATATGTACACACTATGTTACCACAATGTATGTACATATATTATTTTCATAAAATACATAAACTACATGAGGGTAACTATCAGTAAAGTGACGTAAGGAGAAGGGTCAACTTATCAGCAAAACTTGGTGAAACAAGCCTCGACCATAGGAGGCTACACATAATCCTGGACCTGGACAGGGTAGGAGATGCCCTGAGCCTCGATCCCAGCAGTCACCACTAGGAGGTTACACATCCTGGACCTGAACAGGGTAGGTGGTGCCCTGAGCCTCGACCCCAGCAGTCACTACTAGGAGGCTACACATCATCCTGGACCTGAATGGGGTAGATGGTGCCCTGAGCCTTGACCCCAGAAATCACCACTAGGAGGCTACACATCATCCTGGACCTGAACAGGGTAGGAGGTGCCCTGAGCCTCAATCCCAGCAGTCACCACTAGGAGGCTACACATCATCCTGGACCTGAAGGGGGTAGATGGTGCCCTAAGTCTCGACCCCAGCAGTCAGCACTAGGAGGCAACACATCCTGGACCTGAACAGGGTTGGTGGTGCCCTGAGCCTCGACCTCAGCAGTCACCACTAGGAGGCTTCACATCCTGGACCTGAACAGGGTAAGTGGTGCCCTGAGTCTCGACCCCAGCAGTCACCACTAGGATTCTACACATCATCCTGGACCTGAACAGGGTAGGTGCTGCCCTGAGCCTCGACCCCAGCAGTCACCACTAGGAGGCTACACATCATCCTGGACCTGAACAGGGTTAGTGGTGCCCTGAGTCTCGCCCCCAGCAGTCACCACTAGGATTCTACACATCATCCTGGACCTGAACAGGGTTGGTGGTGCCCTGAGCCTCGACCCCAGCAGTCACCACTAGGAGGCTACACATTATCCTGGACCTGAACAGGGTTGGTGGTGCCCTGAGCCTCGACACCAGCAGTCACCACTAGGAGGCTACACATCATCCTGGACCTCAACAAGATTGGTGGTGCCCTGAATCTCGACCCCAGCAGTCACCACTAGGAGGCTACACATCATCCTGGACCTGAAGGGGGTAGATGGTGCCCTAAGTCTCGACCCCAGCAGTCAGCACTAGGAGGCAACACATCCTGGACCTGAACAGGGTTGGTGGTGCCCTGAGCCTCGACCCCAGCAGTCACCACTAGGAGGCTACACATCATCCTGGACCTGAACAGGGTAGGTGGTGCCCTGAGCCTCGATCTCAGCAGTCACCACTAGGAGGCTACACATCATCCTGGACCTGAACAGGGTTGGTGGTGCCCTGAGTCTCGACCCCAGCAGTCACCACTAGGAGGCTACACATCATCCTGGACCTGAACAGGGTTGGTGGTGCCCTGAGTCTCGACCCCAGCAGTCACCACTAGGAGGCTACACATCATCCTGGACCTCAGCAGGGTTGGTGGTGCCCTGATCCTCGACCCCAGCAGTCACCTGTAGGGGGCTACACATCATCCTGGACCTGAACAGGGTAAGTGGTGCCCTGAGCCTCGACCCCAGCAGTCACCACTAGGAGGCTACACATTATCCTGGACCTGAACAGGGTTGGTGGTGCCCTGAGCATCGACCCCAGCAGTCACCACTAGGAGGCTACACATCATCCTGGACCTCAACAAGGTTGGTGGTGCCCTGAATCTCGACCCCAGCAGTCACCACTAGGAGGTTACACATTATCCTGGACCTGAACAGGGTTTGTGGTGCCCTGAGCCTCGACCCCAGCAGTCACCACTAGGAGGCTACACATCATCCTGGACCTGAACAGGGTTGGTGGTACCCTGAGCCTCGACCCCAGCAGTCACCACTAGGAGGCTACACATCATCCTGGACCTGAACAGGGTTGGTGGTGCCCTGAGTCTCGACCCCAGCAGTCACCACTAGGAGGCTACACATCATCCTGGACCTGAACAGGGTTGGTGGTGCCCTGAGTCTCGACCCCAGCAGTCACCACTAGGAGGCTACACATCATCCTGGACCTGAACAGGGTTGGTGGTGCCCTGAGTCTCGACCCCAGCAGTCACCACTAGGAGGCTACACATCATCCTGGACCTGAACAGGGTTGGTGGTGCCCTGAGTCTCGACCCCAGCAGTCACCACTAGGAGCTACACATCATCCTGGACCTGAACAGGGTTGGTGGTGCCCTGAGTCTCGACCCCAGCAGTCACCACTAGGAGGCTACACATCATCCTGGACCTGAACAGGGTTGGTTGTGCCCTGAGTCTCGACCCCAGCAGTCACCACTAGGAGGCTACACATCATCCTGGACCTGAACAGGGTTGGTGGTGCCCTGAGTCTCGACCCCAGCAGTCACCACTAGGAGGCTACACATCATCCTGGACCTGAACAGGTTGGTTGTGCCCTGAGTCTCGACCCCAGCAGTCACCACTAGGAGGCTACACATCATCCTGGACCTGAACAGGGTTGGTGGTGCCCTGAGTCTCGACCCCAGCAGTCACCACTAGGAGGCTACACATCATCCTGGACCTGAACAGGGTTGGTGGTGCCCTGAGCCTCGACCCCAGCAGTCACCACTAGGAGGCTACACATCATCCTGGACCTGAACAGGGTTGGTCCCCGGACAATAACAATAATATCAACAAATTCTCAACTGGTGATCCCAGCTGACCTGCCCCTGAGTGCCCCCGTGCCCCTGGCACCCGTTCCCCGCCCCCTGGGGCACCGGGGCACTTAAAAGAGGGCCATATAGTGCCCCAGGGAGGTGAAATGGCGGCCAGGCTGGCAGTGTGAGTGTAGTACATGAACAACACTCCTTGCTGCTGCTACTGTGTGTACTCTGCTGTACACTGTGTGTACTCTCAGGTGTACACTCCGTGTATACTCCTTCCTGTGTACACTGTGTGTTCTCAAATGTACACTGTGCTAGTGTTTGTACAGTGTCATGTGTATAGTGCCCGTGTGTACACAGTTCTCGTGTGTACACTTCCCGTGTGTACACTGTTCTCGTGTGTACAGTGCTCATACGTGTGCACTGCTCATGTGTACACTGGTTATATATGTACATTGCTCATGTGTGTGTGCACTGTTCATGTGTACACGTGTGTACACTTCATGTGTGTACACTTCATGTGTGTACACTTCATATGTGTACACTGTTCATGTGTACACATGTGTGTACACTTCATGTGTGTACACTTCATATGTGTACACTGTTCATGTGTGTGCACTGTTCATGTGTACACGTGTGTACACTTCATGTGTGTACACTTCATGTGTGTACACTTCATATGTGTACACTTCATGTGTGTACACTTCATATGTGTACACTGTTCATGTGTGCACTGTTCATGTGTACACGTGTGTACACTTCATGTGTGTACACTTCATATGTGTACACTGTTCATGTGTATACACTTCATGTGTGTACACTTCATATGTGTACACTGTTCATGTGTATACACTTCATGTGTGTACACTTCATATGTGTACACTGTTCATGTGTGTACACTACTCATGTTTGTACACTGCTTATATGTGTACACTTCATGTGTGTACATTGCTTATATGTGTACACTGTTCATGTGTGTACACTGCTTATATGTGTACACTTCATGTGTGTACACTGCTTATATGTGTACACTGTTCATGTGTGTACACTGCTTATGTGTACACTGTTCATGTGTGTTCACTGCTCATGTGTGTACACTGCTCATGTGTGTACACTGCTCATGTGTGTACACTGCTTAAATGGGTACACTGCTCATGTATGTACACTGCTCATGTGTGTACACTGCTCATGTGTGTACACTGCTCATGTGTGTACACTGCTCATGTGTGTACACTGCTTAAATGGGTACACTGCTCATGTGTGTACACTGTTCATGTGTGTACACTGCTCATGTGTGTACACTGCTCATGTGTGTACACTTCTCATGTACAGTGCTTATATGTGTACACTGGTCATATGTGTGCCCTGTGCTGTGTGGTGTAAGGTTAAGCATAATAGGGTGTGGCTGGCACCTAGGTAGGTGTGACTGGCACCTAGGTGAGTGTCATCACTGACACTCACTAGGGTGTGACTGGCACCTAGGAGGGTGTCGTCACTGACACACTAGGGTGTGACTGGCACCTAGGTGAGTGTCATCACTGACACTCACTAGGGTGTGACTGGCACCTAGGAGGGTGTCGTCACTGACATATTAGGGTGTGACTGGCACCTGGGTGGGTGTGACTGGCACCTAGGTGAGTGTCATCACTAACACTCACTAGGGTGTGACTGGCACCTAGGTGAGTGTCATCACTAACACTCACTAGGGTGTGACTGGCACCTAGGAGGGTGTCGTCACTGACATATTAGGGTGTGACTGGCACCTGGGTGGGTGTCCCCAGAATTTTGTTTAATTTAACGTCTTAATGGAGGCCATGATGGTGATAGCCTCTTGATCCAAGGAGTGTGAGCTCCCCTCTCCTTCCTTGGATCAAATTTTATTGCCTCTTGTTGCCCAGCTTATGATTCCTGGGGACTTAACATTCCCTTGTCAGTGTAAGAAGAATAATAATTATTTTATTATGAAGATAATTCTTTCAATTTTACATTAACATAAATTTGGCTTAAATTTTCACCCTGTTAAAAGTTTTAATATTGCTTTTGGTAAGAAGATGGTAGACATGAGTGGGTTAGGTTAAGTTAGATCAAGTTAGGTTAAGTTAGGTCATGTTAGGTTATGTTAGGTTATGTTAGGTCATGTTAGGTTATGTTAGGTTATGTTAGGTTATGTTAGGTCATGTTAGGTTATGTTAGGTTATGTTAGGTCATGTTAGGTTATGTTAGGTCATGTTAGGTTATGTTAGGTCATGTTAGGTTATGTTAGGTCATGTTAGGTTATGTTAGGTCAAGCTAAGTAAGTTTGTTACTAATCTCAGTTGCTCTCTGTGTAAAAGCATTGATCCATACAGTCAACACGGTGCCCTGTGGCCTGGTGGCTAAACCTCTCACTTCACACAGTGAGGGTCTGGATTCAATTTCTGGCTAGGGTAGAAACATTGGGTGTGTTTTCTTACACCAGTTGTCTATGTTCCCCATCAGTAAAATGGGTACCTGGGTGTTAGTCGACTGGTGTGGGTTGCATCCTGGGACAAAACTGACCTAATTTTCCTCTGCATAACAAGTGGCTTTCTATATAGTAGTATGTCATTGATGTAAGCTAGGACTGTATTTTATTTTTCAAGAAGGTAGCTACCTTTATAAGTGCTATAAGGATGGGCTAACAGTATTACTTATGTGGAAAAGTAATAGTTATGCATTTACTATTCTATTGAAAATTATAGCACATAAATAGTTGAGGTATGGCGAGTGTATAGTGTATTATATACTGTATAATATACGGTATTAGGAGCAGAGTATAGGGGATTACCAGTAGACCCATGGCTGTCTTCAAGAGGATCTGGACAGGCACCTATAGTCAGTACCTGACCAGCCGGGCTGTGGTTCATACATTGGTTTGCATATGGCTGGTAGTAACAGCCTGGTTGATCAGGACATGATCCACCGCGAGGCCTGGTCATGGACTGGGCTGCGGGGATGTTGACCCTTGGAACATCCTCCAGATGTACTGGATTTTACTTATGTTTTGAATGTAAGCTTCCCAAAAGTGATCTTTGTGGTTTTATCATTTCTGTTTGTTCTACCACTTAGTACTACTTTTCACAAGCATCTGATTGATTCTTCTCTAAACAGAACAATATGGAAGTCATTGAAAGCATCAGCAGCGGAGATGAGGGCAGCACCGATGTCAAAAGAATCCGTTTGATAGTGACCCCTGATGCAGAAGGTAGGAAGTGATGATTATGTATTATATTCAGTAGATCAACTGAGTACTAATTGTAAAATATGCATGTGTCCCAGTACTCAATTACTAGTGCACACAGCTCACACACTGAAGTCCGTGGTTCGGTCCCCAGTATGGGTAAGTAAGTTTATTCAGGTATACACAAATACAGTTACATAGATTATCATACATAGCAGCATATGTGTAGAGAACCTAGGATAATCCAAAAAAAGTCAAGAGTGACTTATTTCCATTGGGATGTGTTTCCTTAAGACACATGCTGTCTCTGTTCTCCTATCAGTAAAATAGATACATACCTGGGTGTTAGGCGACTGATGTGTGTCACATCCTGAGGACAAATTTGACCTAATTTGCCTGAAATGTTTTGCATAACAAGGGACTTTCTGTATAGTAGTACAGTACTATGTCATTGATGTCAGCTGTAGTCTGTATACCATGTACATATAGAAATAAAGATTTATTATTATCATCATCATCATTATCATGTAGAGTGTAGCAGTAGTAATACCGTGCAGAGTCACAACCTGTCACAGTGTTTAAGAAAAGCAGAAATACTATTTGCCTCTGAAGGTAAATTATAATGGGGAAATAATTTTAATATATGTAGTATTGTGTAATGAGAAATCCATAAGGTAAGATTTGTTTGTGTTTTTAACCTAAAATAAACCCAATAAAGTCAGTGCATCATCGAGGACTATCTGTCTCATTTTCATTGGGGTTCTTCAATCTTGTCCCCCTTGATGCCACCCTCACCAGTACCTAATTACTGCTAGGTGAACAGGGACAACAGGTGTAAGGAAACATGCCCAATGTTTCCACCTGTGCAAGGGAATGAATCATGGACACTCAGTGTGTGAGGTAAGTGATTTACCAACTGAGCCATGGGTGAGTAGATAGTGAACATTGTTAGTTATAAAAAGCAAATGCCAAGTAAAAGTTCCTCTATAGAGAATTTAGAGTCACATACCTCAAGCATCTGTGTTCATCATTTTGGTTTTAAACATTTGGTTTTCAATGACTAGTCACTGGGCATAGTACAGCTATAAAGTCAGTATTTAAAAGTGTTGTACCATGCAGATGTCAGTAGTATATAGTACGTATATACGGATGTAATACTAGGTCATTATCATTTAGCACAGAAATACAATTTTACATAATTCTACATAATTTGCATTTTAAAACATAAAACATTCTAAAAGTTTAAAATTATGTAGGGAGCTTAAATAAACCTAACAACTGTACTTACCTTCAGTGAAACAAACCTCAACAAGGTTGCAGTTAAAAAATTTGCAGGTACTATATCGGATAATGTTTTATTGTATAATGAACCATTGTCAAGACACATTAATGGTTCAAGACTGACTGAAACTTTGTCAAGTTTCAATTTTGAGGTTGTGAGTATATGTAGACAGTATGCCTACCCATTCGTATCTGCAGCTGGGGAACCACCAGAAAGAATAACTATATACAGCCTCTCCTCGCTTAACGATGGAGTTCTGTTCCTAAGACCATCCTAGTAAACAAATTCATTGCTAAGTGAGAAGCATACTATAATGGTAGTGGGTTTGTGTCAACCATCTTTGATATTGTTTTAATGTCACCTTTGCACTTTATAACATTTGTGGTATAGTATCTTTAAATGTTTATACAGTAGTGTACTGTATGTACTGTATTTTGTAATAAACAGAATAGAGGAAATCAGCCCTGATATACATTATTTAGGTATGCATACTGGTCAGAGAGCCCGTCGTAAATGTGAGGCATCGGGAAACGAGCATGTCACTTAGTGAGGAGAACCGTATATAGTAATGACATTATTCTGCATTATACGTATAGAAAATACCATATTGTCGGCTGCTTGCTAGGACAGTGTTTCCAAGCAGTTGTATCAATAGTAAACAACTCCTAAAGCATAACCCAGAGCCTGCCCTTGACCCTGACCTTGAGCATATAAGGTGCAGGCTGATTTGTAAGAAAAACAGCATGCCTTATATTCCAGAAAATACAGTAGCTAATTAATCTATTAAGACAGTAATATATTGGGATTATATTGTAATTGGACCACATAGTACTTAATGTCATTTTAGTCATTGATCCAAATATATTTAAATTTTATTTATGTTTTGGGCAGCTGTGGTCATAAAAGCAGACTGAATATTTATATAGCTTTAAGAGTTCAAAGAGAAGGAAGTATGTATGTACCATGTGAAGCAGTGAGAGAATTTGTACTTAATTATAAGATTCAGTAGTCAGAATTGTCATTTTTTTACATGAAGCAAAGAGTTTAATCAATCTTCTAGTTACTCAACTACTGTAGAGCATATGTAGTCTACAATACAGTATTTTCTGATACACCATAATAAATGAGTGTCACTCAGTATTACAAATTTGACTATTGCATTCAATTTCATAGTATTATGATAATTTTTTTTACAGCATGTACCAAGGGGATCAAAGATGTGAGTTCAAGCGAGGGGACAGCCAGTGTGTTCCTGTACAGCTCCGATGGTCGTCTGGGTGGGTGCCAAGCAGGCTGTTGTCTACAACACTTTGTGACACTGCACAGATAACTTATGATGATGTTTTGGTCCGACTTGAAGCATGAAGGAAAAGGAGCTATTATATACACAAAAGGGGGAAGGGTCCCCATCCCTCTTGTATATATATTGGCCCCCTTTCCTTTGTGCTTCTGTTCGACTAGCTAATGGTCCAAGTCAAACCAAAATGTCATCATAAGTTTCTTTCTCCTCTGTACGAGTTATTTGTGTATTGTTCCAGTCATGGTATTGTGACTTTTTAATTTTCATTCTGATACTGTCTATATGCCTTGTTGTTCAAATCACAACAGGATTATTCCTTTCTATTCATTTTCCTCTCATATTGATCATTAAGGATATTACAATACAGGAATTTCTCTTATTTTCAGGGTTCTCTTTATTTAAAGTTTGTGTTTAAATTTGTGAAAGATTTCAAGAAATTTTAATTTTCTGACTAGGAGGAAAAAAATTGAAAATTTGGTTTGGAAAATTACACAGATTATATAGCAATGATTAAAAAATAAAAATGTTCAGAACAGGAGTTCTTTTTTTTTTTAGATTTTAAACTTGAATCTCTAATTCAGATTTTTTCACAATAACAGAATGTTCTATTATTAGAAGAAATGTTCCCACAATCCAGGATTTTTCAAATTAGAATTGAAATTCTGAATTTTAATTAGAAAAAGTCCCTTCATTTGAACATTTTCTTCAAATATGGAAGAATATTTTATGAAATTTTGAATTTTGAATATTCTGGTATTATTGAAAATTTCTGAATGCACAAAAATTCTGAATTTCAATTAGAATCATTCAAAGTGTTATTTATTTTCTATAATTTTGACTCGCCTTCTCTCTCAAAAAATTATGGGGTGACACCACTCATTTTAGAAGTGAAATATATTTTTTTCAATTAGTAATTTATAAAGAGTTGCTTTAAATTTGGTGATTTCTTCCCTGTACAGTTCCTGCAGAAATTGTTATGGAGAGCATGAGTGAGAACATCATAACTCTGCCATTAAGGACCAGCATCATTAAGACTAGTAAAGCAGCCAGTGCAGCAGTGAATATTGGCAGTCCTGTCAGAGTGCTGGAGTGTGGTGAAGGTAGTCCAGGGAAACAGAAGAGCTCACCTGTCATCACTGTCCGTCAGGCGAGAGCTCCACCGCCTTCCCAAACTGACACAAATCTGTATAAGGTTTTGCCCTCGGCCTTGCCGACTAAACCTAGGCAGAGCATTTGTACTTCTGACTCGAACATGTTATCAGACATTCAGCCTAAGTTACAGACAAAATCTGACAGTGTGAGTACCAAGATTCTCATTACACCAAATGTGCAGCCCAAGTCACAGCAAACATTGAGCTCCTCTCACAAGACAATATTGTCTACTGAAATGCAGGAAGAATGTTTAACACTGCTCACTGATAACACAGATAAGACTTCTCAGAGGTAAATATTTGCCCTCTGTTAGTATTAATTCTTTTCAACTTGAAAATGTCCCTCATTTAAGGTTGCCGTATATTTAGAAGAAATAAACAGAATTCTGCTTTAATTTCACTATCTTGACACATGAAATCGTAATAACACAGTTGCAAACAAATCACAGAATGGGTGGGGTTTGAACCCGTTCTGTTTTTTTTTTTTTTTTTTTGCTATCTTTGTATATTAATTTTCTCACTGAATAAGGTAAGGGTCTGAAGTGGAAATCTGTAGTGTTTGTTGTACCAATATCCTGACATATGTTTAGTGTTTCATGAAATATCACCTTAACATTTTTTGTGTTCTCATCCAGCAGTAGCAACGGTCAGACTTCTCAGACAGTTATGATGCGAGTCAATAGTCTTGGAGAGCTGGAATTGGACCCAATGTTTCTCAATGCAGAAACTCTCAGTGAATCAGAGACAGAAGAGATACGGCTCACAGCGTCCTCAGACTTAACTGCTCAAGACCGACTTACAGGCAGCATCCTGGTAAGGTCACTCCTGGTTGTATATGATGAATAGTACCTCTATATAGCTGCTCAAAAATGAAGAAACCACAAGATTAATACACCTTCAGAGTGAGGTAATCTAATTAACTAACAGAAGAAATGAGAGGCAGAAATGAACATTTAGTGGTAACAGTTTTGGAAAGTCAGAAGATACATTCTGTAAAAGATGTGAAAGTGTTGTTCACTGCATACGATAGTGTAGTTATTGCAATATGAAGTTCCCTGGCAGATACATATTGGGCATGATAACCCCATTAAATGGCCTGCATACCTCTCTGATATTCTGCATTTAGATTTCTTGTGGTGGGTTTTGTACAGGACTATTTTTCAGGCACCAGTATTTGACATTAACACTCCATGCTAGCATAAATAATGGCATCAGAAAAGACACACCGGATGTGTGGCCAATATATGGAATAAACTAAGAGTATCAGCTAGATGTGTTACAGGTTACTAGAGGTGTACATATTGAAACTGCATACATTAGACAGCCATGAGGCTGCATAAAAAGATGCAATTCAGCTAACATATGCAGAAAACTAGATTTTCATATCCTATTACTATTTTTTTGTAAACAATAACATAATTTAAATTGGAAAATAACATATTGATTACACATTTTAAGATGCATGTAACTTAGCTTGATGAATGTTGTTTATGAGGCAGTCACCTGGGAAGCCTAGAGTGAGAACAAACTCAGATAGCAGAACAACTTAAAAAGTGACTGTGGGTAAACCAAAGCAGCATCAGTATTTTATTCTCTAGAATGTGAGACAAGTCAGATGCAGTTCACTTCATCCTTTACAAACCCATTAGCCATTTCATTCTCTACCACATACCCAGTACCTGATTGCATTCATTTCTTTTGCTCACATTCTTTCCATTCTGACTTCTAATCTTTGATTCCCTTGACTTCTACTTAATCCCCTCACTTTACCCCGTTTTTACATTCACTGTCAACTTTCTTCTTTTACACACACTCCCAAAAATCCTATGTCAGTATTTGCAGCATCTCTCTTAAATATCCCAAAAGGATTGTGTCAACTGCAAACAGAAATTTTTGCAACTCTTAACTTTAAATTATATTATTGTTATCATATATGACCATACAATTTCCAAACACTAGCATTGACTTCTACAACCATGTCAATAAACACATTAACAAGAATAGCAGCATCACATGTTCTCTAACTCCTGCTCTTACTGGGAAACATTCTTTCCTACACACCCTAATCTATTCCCTACTTATTATAAACATCCTTTACACCTTTCAGCAACTTACCACCTGTTGTTCCATACATTTGCTTCACTTGCTACATCTTCTGATCTGTTGTGCCATATGTCTTTTCCAACTCCGTAAGCAACCCCTTTTCCTTGTGTAAATACTGTATTGCACACTAGTATGATTTTATTATCACGCTTGAGTTACACATACTCTTCACTTTTTAAATTTCAGAGCAGTGTGAACAAGACTGAAGATTTAAATGTTGAGGAAATTCAAGTGGACTTGCAGACTCCCACTGCAGCCCAGGTGGAGGTGAGTACTGGAGGCATGGCCAGGAATTGTCTGAAGGAGGGAAGCCATCCTTGCCTCTTCCAAAATCCCTTTAGACAGTGCCATATAATGTTTTCTTTCACGCCACAATTAGCCTGCGGGTGAGTATTATTTTTATGAAGGAGGCTTAACGTCACATGACGTAAATAACACCCATGCTCTGGTTGCCTCATACCTTACTCAGTCATGTGTGATTTAAGAGAGTTTGGATCAGTTCATCAATACATTTTGTGTCTGGACATTAACCATGGCACCCAAGAGGAATAATAGTGATGCTGGAGGTGCCAAGAAGAATAAGCAAGAAAGTATGAGCATTTTGAAAAAGTAGAGATGTTTGATATGGTAATAATGGTAGAATTACCAACACAACGTTAGGTAAATGGACACAGATACATCTTATGTGATATTTTTATTGTTGCAGCATTTTGCTTTCCAGGAACTTTGTCAAGCCAGTAATGTCTTGACAAAGCTCCTGGAGAGAAAAACATTGCCTCAGTAAAAATGTCACATTAGTTGCATCTGTGCCCATTTGCCTAGCAATTTAGGTATGCTCATAGATGGGTCACATGTGGTGCAGATGCCCCTGTGACTAGTGCTGACAAAGTAGCAATTCATACAGCTAGAAAGAATAAGGTGCAGATAAGAATTTTTGCTTTATGTATCCAGATTGTAACATGCTGAAAAGAATGGAAAAGAGGTTAATACAGCTAAATACCTGGAGTATACCTGAAGGAGGTTTTGCAGGTCAATGCTCCCATGGCCCAGTCCATGACCAGGTCTCATGGTGGATCAGGACCTGATCAACCAGGCTGCTACTGCTGGCTGCACGTAAACCTACGTTCAAGCTGCGGCCCGGCTGGTCAGGTACTGATTTTAGGTGCCTGTCCAGCTCCTTCTTGAAGACAGCCAGGGGTCTATTGATAATCCCCCTTATGTATGCTTGAGGCAGTTGAACAGTCCTAGGCCTCCCTGAAAGTTATTGTGTTGTCTCTTAGTGTACTTGTGGCACCCCTGCTTTTCATTGGGGGATGTTGTATCCACTGCCCAGTCTTTTGCTTTCATAGGAGTGATTTTCGTGTGCAGATTTGGGACTAGTCCCTCTAGGATTTTCCAAGTGTATATATTATCACGTATCTTTCTCTCCTGCATTCCAGGGAGTACAAATCAAAGGACTACAACCATTCCCAGTAATTTAGGTGCTTTATCGTACTTATACATGTGTGAAAGTTCTCTGTAGTTTCTCAGGATCCACAATTTTGTCTGCCTTGAAATGGGTCATTAGTGTACAGCAATATTCCAGCCTAGAGAGAAGTGATTTGAAGAGAATCATCATGGGCTTGACATCCCTGGTTCTGAAGGTTCTCATTATCCATCCTATCATTTTCGTAGCAGATGTGGTAGATACATTGTTGTGATATTTGAAAGTGAGATTCTTTGATGTAATCACACCCAGGTCCTTCACATCAGTTAATAACTGTGTAAATTGAACAGAAGGCAAAAAACAAGGTGCCCCACATAATCACCTAATGATGAAGGAGAAACCCCTATCATACTATACCAACAAATACCACCAACGAGAATTTTTAAGTAAGAATTTTTTTTTTTTTAACTGTAGTGTCAGCACCCTTCTGGCAAGACAATGATGGAGTGAGTAATGATGCAAGTGTTTCTTCCTTTTTTGGGGTCACCCTGCCTCAGTGGAAACAGTCAGTGTGTTAATAAAAAAAAATGGTTTACATAACCTTGTTTGACTTTCTTAATGGGCTCAGGAACATAACCCCCATTTTTTTTGGCCCCATTATTTTCATTCTACTTAACATGATTTCATGTAAAACTCTGGCTTTTCAGTCATTTAACATCATGTTATGTGAAACTTAAAATAAAAAAATTGGTAAGAGGCATTTTCTTTGTAATGGTGTCACAATATTATTAATTATGTATTATATATATAGAAAATGTTTTCAGGCTGGAAGTGGAAATGTGAACCAAAGTTGGTTTACATCTCGGGAAGATAAAGAAATGCTACGATGGCGTGGCCATGCCTGGCGCCAGGGTATGTGGTCGAAGGAAGAAACTGAACTCTTACAACGTAATATTGAGCAGTACTGTGCCCAGAGAGGCGTTTCTGATCCAGGATCTGTTATATTCAAGATGTCTAAGGAGGAGCGAAGTGGCTTTTATCGAGTAGTTGCTCGAGGCTTGAACAGACCTCTCTTCTCGGTCTACAGACGAATTATCAGGTGAATGTCACATATTGAAGAGCTGTCATACAGGAATTAAATGTTTCTTACTATCTCCCATTATTGAAGCACTGTGTTACTTCATAACAATGTTTGTATAGACCTGACAAGAAGTCACATGTTACCAGACATCAGAATAACAGTAATACTGTTCCAGAAAGTCTCATCCTCACTTGATAAAAGCTACGACAACAGTAAGTGGATTCTACTGTTTCATTTTTTGTTTTTCTATCAGGCTCTGATATACAGTTAAAAACCTTTTACTAACCCTCCTTTTCCTTCTTTTTATTATAGTGCTTTTGACATTTTGCAGACCTATACAGATGACCCAAACGTGATGACAGAGATAGGGATCAAACAAAATGCTTGTGAGTGAAGAATGAGTTGAATGAATTGCATTTTTCCAGTCACCCATATTATAACCCAAGGTGCTGTCTGGGACAGTAATAATCTGCACCTGACTCTTACAAACTTTCTTGAGGATGAATTTCATAACCACAACATGATAACATTGTCATATGGTTCCACTCATAAGTGTGGTTGTTTGGCAAATTATTCCAGCCACGGTCTTGTGACTTTTTATTTTTCACCATGCACTGTATTTATCAGTGAGTAGCCCTATTACTCTCTCCCATTCTATTTTTTTTCCCTCCCATTCTATTTTTTCCCTCCCATTCCCTCTATCTCTTTCAGCTAAATGTCATCACCACTAGCATTTTCTTTACCTTGGAATTACTTATTAAAAACAGCTGAAGATATCCTTTGTAATGGCTACTAAAGATGCTGTGAGACAACAAAGAGGCAACAAAGGTTCAAAGAGGCAATGAGAAAAACACTCCAGGGGATGATTGTTGGCTGCCTCTTGGATTCTTTAATTATTTGAGCATTTCCTACTGTGGTGCATTCAGCTGTAGCATAAATGTGGAATCAAACATTTACACTCTTCAACATTCTTTTTGTAAAAGTTTAGCACTTTTTGTAGATATAATAATAAGACACTGTTGTGTATTTGATTTGTTTGTCCAGCTTTTATAATAATAAAAATAATAATCATCATCTTTATTTCTATTAGTACATGATACAGCTTATACATACCCAACTGACATCAATGACACACTACATATATAGAAAGCCCCTGGTTATGCAGAGCATTTTGGGCAAATTAGGTTAATTTTACTACCCAGGATGCAACTCGCACCATTTGGCTAACACCCAGGTACCTATTTTACTGCTAGGTGAACAAGGATAGCAGGTGTCTTAAGGAAACTCTCAAATGTTTCCACCAGTACTGGGGATCAAACATGGACCTCAATATGTGAGTTGAGTGCTACCAATCCAGCTACAGTACACTTTATTTAGTTGAAGCTGACGGGAGGTTGGCTTCTTGCCCAATTATCTGACAGTAGTTTCTGCTTGTAATTTCTTTTCCTTTCATTTACTTATCCAAGACATTTACAGATAGGACACACACATAATAAAGTAATAGCTACTAGTGAAGACTTGAGGCAGCAAAAAATTAGAGAGCTATCAGAAGTTTGGAGGCAAAGCTATTTAGTACTCAAATACTGCTTCATGCCAAGTGCTCATTAAGGGAAAGAATTCCAATTTTTTTTCAGTTGCTGTTTGAAGTTACTGAGAATGTTTGTTGAGTGGGGGTTGATTGCATATGTAATTAAATATCAAATACAGTAATGTTCTTTTTTGACACATTCTTATGATGAAGATAGAGATTTTTTTTTTTCATTTACACACATTTTATAGTATAATATTTCATGTTTTTTTAGTATCTTTTCTTTCTCAAGTACATAAACATCCTTACTTGACAAGATCTACTCCACTGCACTATATTGACCATCATGAGCATTTTCGGCACATTGTGATTAGAAAAACATTTCTTTGTATTGGTTATGCAAAGAAAATGTACACTTCCCTCCCAGCTCCTCTAAAATATTGTACATACTTACACAAGACTGAGGAAGAGTGTTATGCATATGTTACATATGTTCTGGAACCATGAAGGGCATATACAGATAAGCATGAACTTCCAGTGAGTCATTTGTAGTCAGGCAGTTTGTCAGAGAGTGATAGGGAGTGTGAACAGTAAGTGACCTGCCAGTGAATCAGATAGTTCTAGAAGACAGTGAAAGTACTGTAGTGTACACTTACTGAACAGCCAGTGACACTGGTGTTGAGAGTTTGTAGCTGTGTTGGCCTGTATAACTGTGACGAGTTACTCTTTTTGGCTCTGTTTTTCATCATTAAACTTTGCTATTAATTCAATGGTTTACCAAACAACCTATTTCTTTCCCCACCCTTGATTCTGCCTTATGATAAGCCATAAATGCGCAATTGTCTTTATAGAATATACGACAATCACAACCACATCGGAAAGTATTCCTCAGAAGAAGTCAACAAACTTCGAGAATTACGAATGAAACATGGCAGAAACTGGCAGGCCATTGCGGCACATCTTGGCAGATCAGCTGCTTCGGTAAAGGATCGTTGCCGCCTGTTGAATGAGAACTGCAACAGAGGTGCTTGGTCAGCAGATGAAGAGGAACGGTTGGCAGCAGCAGTATATGACATGGCTCAGGTGCTGCCGGGAGAGCAGGTAATACCTTATTTAAGCTTTGTTACTGTAAATAAAGTTTCATCTTTGAAGGTCAATTTCTTATGTAGCACGTCTATTTTATTATCTCCATGTGGGTTTGTGTATCTTACAGATACATCACAGCATCCTCCTCTCTTTCATTTTTTATTTCATTCACTTAATATGAGATGATGCTTTTTTTTTTTTAAGCAGAAGGCAGAGAGGCATTCTTTAACATTAACAGAGCTATATTTTTCTGATCAGGAAGCAGGCAAAGTTTGCTTAGATACAGAGGAGTATGTAGACAATTTATGTACGTTTTTCTTGTAATGTGTAACTCATCTTTGAGCTTTCTAATGAATAAATACTTTAGATAGTTATGTATTACCTGGAGTTTACCTGGAGAGAGTTCCGGGGTCAACGCCCCCGCGGCCCGGTCTGTGACCAGGCCTCCTGGTGGATCAGAGCCTGATCAACCAGGCTGTTGCTGCTGGCTGCACGCAAACCAACGTACGAGCCACAGCCCGGCTGATCAGGAACTGACTTTAGGTGCTTGTCCAGTGCCAGCTTGAAGACTGCCAGGGGTCTGTTGGTAATTCCCCTTATGTGTGCTGGGAGGCAGTTGAACAGTCTCGGGCCCCTGACACTTATTGTATGGTCCCTTAACGTGCTAGTGACACCCCTGCTTTTCATTGGGGGGATGGTGCATCGTCTGCCAAGTCTTTTGCTTTCGTAGTGAGTGATTTTCGTGTGCAAGTTCGGTACTAGTCCCTCTAGGATTTTCCAGGTGTATATGATCATGTATCTCTCCCTCCTGCGTTCCAGGGAATACAGGTTTAGGAACCTCAAGCGCTCCCAATAATTGAGGTGTTTTATCTCCGTTATGCGCGCCGTGAAAGTTCTCTGTACATTTTCTAGGTCGGCAATTTCACCTGCCTTGAAAGGTGCTGTTAGTGTGCAGCAATATTCCAGCCTAGATAGAACAAGTGACCTGTTCTATGATGACATTGTTTTAAGTTGATGTAGGTCATTTGTGTTAGGAGCCAGGGAAAGTAGTGAATGTATGTGAATGTTTGTCTGTATTAAGTGACCAATAGCATTTTTTTGAAAGATGAATTTATAGCATTAGCAGAAATAATTTCATATAAAGTATTTATTACTAACACTGTACTGTATATAATATGTACCATTATTTATATGACAGAAGAGAGGTCAGTAATACTAAAAATTCATTGTTAAATATACAATTATCCAATGTTTCAGGTGACAAAAGGAATCTCCTGGGGTGAAGTGTCTAATAGAGTGAGAACACGATCTGAGAAGCAGTGTCGTACCAAATGGCTCAACTACCTTAACTGGAAGCGGACCTCTGGGGTAGAATGGAGCAAGGCAGATGATATACAACTCATATGCAGGTAAGATCACATGGAAGCTGTTCCACCTCTCTTCAGTATACGTACTGTACTCTCTGGTCTTGCTGTTCTTTCATTTTTTACAAGATTATCTATGAGGATAATTTTAGATTTTAGATTTTTATTATTATTATTCTTTTTTAAGTACACAGGTCATCTCCCACTGAAGCAAGGTGACCCAAACAAGAAGGAACAAAAGTTTTTCTTCTTTTTACATTTAGTAATTTATACAGGAGAAAGGGTTACTAGTCCCTTGCTCCCGGCATTTCAGTTGCTTCTTGCGACACACATGGCTTATGGAGGAAGGACTCTTCTTCACTTACCCATGAAGATTATTATTACTATAGTCACAAAAATACTAAATTTGTTTTTCTACTTTATGCAGTTTGGGTTGTTGTTGGAGCCTTGGGTGGGACAATACTGTTTCCTTGTTTTTGACCTTTCCTTTAGGCACTGGCCTGGTTTAAGCTATCTTTTTCCCAGTCACACCACAATTATGAGATAATATTTGAAGATTTGCTTTTAATTTAAACCTTCACGTATGATGTGATTATGTGTGAGTGAGGTGAAAGTGTTGAATGATGATGAAAGTATTTTCTTTTTGGGGATTTTCTTTCTTTTTGGGTCACCCTGCCTTGGTGGGAGACGGCCAACTTGTTGAAAAAAAAAACATATGATGTCTTGTTCAGTTGACCCTTGTAGAAAACATCATGAGCATAATCTTAGCATGGGCATGGTTTTCAAAGATGTTTGCATCTCCCAGTACATTATCAAATACAGTATGTACTCAAATCTTCAACACACATATCACTTACCCTTGCAATTAAGGAGTTTTATCCAGTTATTTCCAGCTGACACATTCACTGATACAATGTATATGAAATGCATTAACAGTTGAAGTCCGATGACATCACTCATGCTTCATTAGAAGAACTGCTGTACTCCTTACTGCCAATAACTATATTTATAACATAATCAGTGTAAGTTGAGGAACTTAATACATATAATAAATCTATTCTGTTTTTTGTATATGGAAGAGTGAGAGAGGGAAGCTGCACCAGAAGAAGGAGAGTAGTTTCATTTAGCTAATCCCCATTCCACAAAGGAAGAATATATAAACAGTGACACACGGAATGACTTTCATATTCACTCTTAAAGTACTTGTACAGTATTTATATTGTTACTCACTTATTGAATTGATATTGTGTGAGAGTTTTAATGCAGTATGGTTAGTGATTGGGCTGTGAAGGTAATAATTTCTCTTGGGCTATCATAAGTTCTGGAATATGGCAGGCTTAGTGTGTGTGGTGTGGCAGAAGAGTCGCAAGTAGACTGGTCATCACTGGCGAGGATCTGGCCAGCTTGCCGTTCCCCACACTGGCTTCGCGGCAAGTGGTGGAATCTAAAGAGAAGACTCCCTCAGTCTTCTCAAAATACAAATCTCAGTGGTGAGTCATGTAGAAAAATTATTTTGATTTTAGCTGTCAAAGATCAGATAACCAGACTTTAGACATTACTAATTATAGACTTGTTTTATTACTTGATTACTCTTAGTCATTATGTGAATTTCTGATGAACAAAATATTGGACTGTACAAGTAGTGTGCCTTATAGTTCACTGGTATTGTCACTGCATTACAGTTGCTTTACATATACAGTGGAACCTCAAATTTCGAACTTAATCCGTTCCAGGAGCTAGTTCTAAAATCGAAAAGTTTGAAAGGTGAAGCAATATTTCCCATAAGAAATAATGGAAATACAATTAATCTGTTCCAGAAACCCAAAAATATTCACAAATAAATACATTTTATAAATAGTATTACATTATAGTTTTATATACACACAACAAATACAGTGTAGAATTATTAATAAATTTAAATAAACATATAAAATAACATTTTTACTTACCTTTATTGAAGATTGGTGATTTCATCTGGAAGATAGGGAGGTGGAGAGAGAGAGAGTTAGGGTTAGTGTTTGGAAGGGGAATCCCCCTCCATAAGGACTTTAGGTATCAAAGCCCTCTCTGGGGTTACTTCGCTTCTCTGTCATTTAATGCCATTAGGACCAGCTTGAGAGTCACTGGACCCCTGTCTCACTAAATAGCTGTCCACAGTCCTGTTTCTGGTGCCTCTTTAAGATTTCCCTAAAATGGGACATGGTTCTGTCACTGAACTTGTTGCAAAGATGGCTTGTTTCAGCTTGCTTGGGGTGGTACTTCTCCGCAAACATTTGGACATCACTCCACTTGGCGCAAATCTCCTTAATCTTTGAATTGGCATGCAGCTTCCTTGCCTTTTCACAAATAGTCGTCTCTGAAATACTATCACTGCCATCTCTTTATCCTTGATCCACACCAGCAACAACTTACAACATACTTCTGTATTATTTCCTTCTTCACATCTATGGTGTTTCTCACTTTCTTTACCACAGGGGTACCACTAGCAAATTTCTTTGGGCCCATGGTAGCTTATTTCACAGTCCCACAAGCACTAAACACAATGAATTCATTGTAAAATGTTTGAATGAGACCGCAGGTTAGTGTTCACTCAAGCATCAACAAAGCCAGACTGGCTCATGGCGCCTGTGCAGGGACGCGGACAGAGTGGGCTGGCAGACAGGTCCGGTACCCGGCGGTTCGAAAGAAGGGGTGAGTTCGATAACAGGGACAAAGTTGGTTCGAAAAAAACGGTCGATTTTCGAAGAGTTCGATGAGTGATACGTTCGAAATTTGAGGTTCCACCGTACATTATTTTGAAAAAGTGAGATACATTGCTTTATAATTTAATAATACTGTGGAATAGTTTCAAAGTTGGTGTGTGTATTTCCACTAGAGATGTGTCAGCAGCTGTATAACCTGCAGTCTCTGAGCCTCCTACAGTCTACCTTGGTGGAACTTCCAGCAACTTTCCTCAACTCTGTTAATAATTCAGCACTACTGAGTGCTTCTGCTCCTCCCACACCAGAAAACAAGTCTCCAGCAGAGTCCAGTCAAGACAGTGTCTCTCTTGGCACTATCAAATTATGTATTCCAGCTGCAAATTTTTCACATATTATTAATTCAGGTAAGCTTGTGAATATGTGCAAGGAAAAATGTACTTACAAGAAAATAATGAATTAGGAAATGAGTACAGTACAATATATTTCATCCTCATGTTGACTCCATCCTCAATTTGTTGAAGAGGACCTCAGTGTGAGGCCAAAATATGCAATATGCTACTCATTTTACATTGTTTTATTGTGTTTGAGTGAGTTTGTGCCATTGACCAATGCTAATTGCACTTGTGTTTTGATGTTTAGGAAAAATAGAAAATAGTGAATGATCCCCTGTATTAGAAATCTTTCCTATGAGGATAGGCTGAGGCCCTGAATTTGCACTCTCTAGAAAGGCGTAGAATTAGGGGGGATATGATTGAGGTGTATAAATGGAAAACAGGAATAAATAAAGGGGATGTAAATAGCATGCTAAAAATATCTAACCAAGACAGGACTGGCAGCAGTGGTTTGAAGTTGGAAAAATTCAGATTCAGGAAGGATATAGGAAAGCACTGGTTTGGTAATAGAGTTGTGGATGAGTGGAACAGACTCCCGAGTACCTTCATAGAAGCTAAAATGTTGTGTAGTTTTAAAAATGGGTTAGATAAATACATGAGCGGGTGTGAATTGGACCTGACTAGCTTGTGCTACTAGATTAGTGAATGAGACCTGACCTGACTAGGTTGTTACATTGGCTTGGGCTGGTGGGGGACTTGGACCTTCCTCGCATGGGCCGGTAGACCTGCTGCAGTGTTTCTTCTTTCTTATGTATGATCAAGTTATTATATTGTAAAAATATCTGAGGATTGTGATTGAAGTTGAAAAGTGTTGTGCTTATGTTAGATGAGTAACTTTTGTGAGATAAGAAAAGCACAATACTGTATGCTTTAAAGTCAAATACATCTTCTTTCAACGCACCAGCTGTATCCCACCGAAGAAGTCAAATACATGTAAATTATAAAATCATGAAAATGGAATGTTGAATTACGGTATGCATAGTTTAATAAAGGAGACTGAAACACTACCTGACATTACATACCTGGAGTTTACCTGGAGTTTACCTGGAGTTTACCTGCAGTTTACCTGGAGTTTACCTGCAGTTTACCTGCAGTTTACCTGCAGTTTACCTGGAGTTTACCTTTACATAGCCCATTTGTATGTCATATTACTATACACTTGTTTTTTATTATATGCAGTACCTACCATTTCCTAATTTTGAATCTGCATTTTCATAATATTATTTTTCCTGAGCAAGCAAGTTTGTTCCTTCAAATATATGACAGATTTTGAATATTGAAGCATTTTTATAAGCTTTCAAGTGCATTTTTTAATTTTTTCCTTCATAAATTTATATTATAACACGAAAATAAAGCATCTGTTAAGTTAAAATATGTTGTCAGATGAGAGTGAAGAAGACTTTGGCTCAAGATTAAGTGGGTTGATGCAGAGTGCATTGCTGACCCAGAGTGTAGATGTGAGGGTGTGTGAGGCTAGCAGTGTAGCATCACAAGCACACTGCTTTACCTCACCTGCTCTCACCACACAACTTCCACACCTCTCACCTCACCTGTCCTCCACATTGTCAGACGGTGCAAAGACCCAGTCCATAGTTGTGGAAACTTTGGAGGTAGGTGATGTTTATGAGTATTTGCATTGATTTTAAAGTCTATGGCACACACAAACAGGGAATCACAAGGTTGCTTGCTTATCATCTTGGCTAGACAGGAATAATAGAAAGTTGAAGGAGAGGAATGTACTAAGACAGGAAATTACAAGGGAAGTAAGAATATAATTGGAAAATAGATGTTGAAATGAAGAATAAAAAGGCACAATATCTTGACTTGAACAATACATAAATAACCTGAACATAGGAGAATGAAACGTATGAAGACACTTCGGTTGTGACTATTTAATGGTCTAAGTCAGACTGAAATGTCACTGTGAGTTTCATTCTCCGATTGCAGGTTATTTGTGTACGTATTTAAGTGTGTAAATATTATATGCTTACCTTCACTATTAAAATAATGTTATTATTCACAGGATCCACTCTCAATGCACCTAGCAGGGGTGACCAGGGCAGATGTGAGCCGCACTACACTCCTTGACCAAGGTACGTTCAATTATGGTGATATATGATCCTACACATGTTATATTATGCTCTTTATCTCTCTTTTTATCTATGATTTTATTTGTTAAACCTAATCCATTTCCACATGGTTGAAACAGATGTGCAAGCCATAGTTGTCTCTTATCACCAACTTATGATAATGAAGCTAATTAAGACTATTACTATATTTCATAAATGTTTCATAATTGCTGTACTACATTCACTTTTAAAACAAAGTTGATCACTTGATCTTGTTCCAACCATTATTTTATTAGATATTATAAACAGTTGATCTATTCATTGTACAATCATTAATTTAATTGTTTTTCTAGTACAGTCTAATAACATATTTTGTTTTTTCTTGCCCATTCAAGTGTTAACAGCAGTTTTGATTACAATAATTTCCACACTAACCTAATATGTAAGACATTTATGGTAAGGCCGGACTGTAAATATAACCCCAGTCATGTGCCTTCCTCTCTTTGTCTTTCATACATTTTGACTTTAAAATAGCCTTTTCAAATTTCTAACACTGTATAAACCAACTTGTAGATTATGGGAATAAAACACATGCAAAATCAAGGCATTTATTGAAGAGAAATTTTTCCCAGTTTTTGAACTGTAGTATCAGCACACCTCTAGCAAGACAGTGATGGAGTGTATGATGATGAAAGTGTTTCTTCTTTTTTTGGGTCACTCTGCCTCATTGGGAAACAGCCAGTGTGTTAAAAAAAAATTGCCATTGATGGCTTTTTCAATGCTGAGATTGAAAAAGCCACCAGTGGTGAGACATCAACTTCAGTTATTGTTTTGATTGTACATGTATCTTATTCTTACAATCTGTATTAACACACCTGTACTTGCACAGCCTGTTCATATTTTATTTATCAGAGATGTAAGAGTACAGTGTATGTATTCAGTGATTATGACAAGCAGACTGACATGATATTATGCTTTATCAGGAGATCTGGGTGGAGGTATGAAGGAGGAAGACATCCTGAGTGATGGTGAGGTCAGCCACTCTCAGACAGGACTAGCCACCAGCCTTGACCCATCCTCGCCTGCTGTAACCTCTCAGGTCATCCTCAATGGTTAGTGCTTTCTCTGTTATCATTGATTCACCCCAGATTTTTAATCTAGTTAAATAATTTAAAATTGTAATATGCATCTATTCATTTTTCATTATTGAATTAATAAATAACATATTCTTACCTAATATAATAATAATAATTCAGGGGAAACTGGTTAGTTAAACTTGAGTCATGAAGGTGGGAAGAGTAGTGCCTGAACTCTCCAGGAAGGATGGCAATGCTGCACTCAGAGGGTAATCACAGTGTGTTCTTAGCACACTTCTAGGCAGATAGCAGTTGAATGAATGATGGCAAAGGTTTTCTTTTTTGGGTTACCTTGCCTTGGTGGGAGATGGCTGTTGAGTTAAAAAACATAGTAATAACACAGTGTTTTATTCCCCCCCCCCCCAGAAAAAAAAATTTAAAAGTGTTAAAAATTTTTTTAAATCCCTTAGGATACACAGTATCATTTTACTATTGGCTATACACTCAGTGGCCATTTTATTAAGTACACCCTTCTAGTACTTAATAGGATATCCCCATTGCCCCCAGAACAGCTTAAATTCTTCATGACATGGATATGAGCTAGGCCTGTATACGATGTACATATACTTGTAGTAAATAAAGATATTATTATTACAGCATCATGCAGTTGCTGCAGATTTGTTGGCTGCACATTCATATTACAAATCTTCCGTTCCACCACATATCAAAGGTTTACACCAAATTTTGACCATTCCACCCACAGGTCACAGCAGAAATCACAGTTTATAAGACTAGGCAACATTTTTCCAATCTTTAACTGTTCAGTTTTGGTGAGCCAGTGTTCAATGTAGTTTCAGTTTCCTGTTCTTAGCTGACAAGAGTGGATCCTGGTGTGGTCTTCTGCTTCTATAACCCATCCACTTCAAGGTTTGATGTGTTGTGCATTCAGAGATGCTCTTCTGTATGCTACTGTTGTAACACATGGTTACTTGAGTTACTGTCACCTTCCTGTCAGCTTGAACCAGTCTGGTCATTCTCCTCTGACCTCTCTCATTAAGAAGGAAATTTTCCCAACTAAACTGCTACTCAATATTTGTTTTGTGTTTTTCACACTGTTCTCTGTATACTCTAGAGACTATTGTGTGTGAAAATCCCAGGAGGTCAGCAGTTTCTGAGATGCTCAAACCACCCCATCTGTCTACCAGCAACAATCATTCCATGGTCAAAGTCACTTATATTACTTTTCTTTACCATGGTGATGTTCCGTCTGAGCAACAGCTGAATCTTTTGACCATGTCTGCATGCTTTTAGATATTGAGATGCTGCTACATTGTTGGCTGATTAGATATTTGCATTAAAAAGCAGGTGTACCTAATAAAGTGGCCACTGAGTGTATAATTGGACAGACAGTGTGTTTATTAGTATCTTAATATTTAATTAATTTTGATGTAACCTCTGCAGATCCCATTCTGTCAGTGTCTGGGGAGCCACTGGGACGAGAGGAGGGTCTGCAGCCCGACCACGATGACTCAGACATCACCTGCCAGGGCCTTTCTCAAGATTAGCTAAATAATACTTTTTATTTAAAATATACTAAAAAATCCATTATTGGACTGAAACCTACCTATTTTATAATTTGCCTGTTGTATGATGTTTACACACACACTCTCCATGCAGAAGTGGAGAAGAATCCTTCCTCTGTAAGCCATGTGTGTTGTAAGAGGCGACTAAAATGCTGGGAACAAGGGGCCAGTAACCCCCTTCTGTATAAATCAGGTCACATTGCCTTAATGGGAAACAGCCTGTGTTTTAAAATATAGTAGACCATCGGTAGTTACGTTCCTGAAAATGCCGTTTTAGTTAAAACCGTGTTAGACAAACTGAAGAACTTATGGGAAAAATAGGGTTACGTTCCTTGGAGCCCCCAAAAAACCAAACAACTATTTTTTAGACCAACAGATTTTACAAAAATAAAAGTGAATATGTAATTGTAGTTCATTTTCATAATATATTACTGCTTAAGACTACAAATGTCATAGAAATAATAGTATTTCTTACCTTAAACTATGGGTAATGGTGTTTGTGGATGATTGTGAAGAGAGTGGATATGCATGGTGCGGCCCTACTGGCTGAAGTGGATGGCTGTTGGTTGTCGGCAGAAGTGGATAGTAGAGGTTCTGATACTAAAGTCGATGGTTGTATTGGAGTGTGCATAAATTCTGTAATGGATCTCTGGGCTCTTTTACCCTGCAGTACATTATACAGCTGACGGCTAGGCATCATCAGCTGGTCTAGACCCCATTTCAAAGCACTGCTTCTAGAGTTGTCAGGGTCCTCTTCAGTGAAAAAAGTCTGCTAGTTTAGCAGCAACGTGGAATTGCTTACGTAACTGCTGCAACGTTAACTGTTTTTCTTCAGGTTCTTCTTCATCTTCTGTTAAGTGGCTCCCTTGTATCTGCATCAAGCTCTGCCAACATTTCTTCTGGACTCCCCAGTCCAGTGGTTGTATTAGAGATGTTGTATTTGGAGGTAAAAATACAACTTTTACATGTGGGGTCACATCCAGCAAAGCTTGTGAATGAGTACCAAAATTATCAAGAATGAAGAGAGCCTTGAATGCAAGGTTCTTGCTGTGCAGGTAAAACTTGACTTCAGGAATAAAGTGATTCTTAAACCAATCAGTAAATATTTCCTTTGTCATCTATGCTGACTGGTTTGACGTCCAAATTACTGGTAAGGTGTTTTTATCTACACCTTTCAAAGCACAAGGATTCTTAGAATGGTAAATAATCATGGGCTTACACTTGACATCACCTGATGCATTACTGCAAAGGAGCAAGGTGAAGCAATCCTTTGCTGTCTCGAAGCCCGGTGCACTTTTCTCTTGCTGACTGATATAAGTTTGTGTTGGCATTTTCTTCCAAAAAACACTTGTCTCATCAGCATTAAACACTTGATGTGACTCATAGCCACCCTCAGCAATAATTTCCTGCAATTCAGCAGGGAAATTACTTGCTGCTGTATGATCAGCTGAAGCACTTTCACCAGAAAACTTAATATTATGTATCTTATTATGCAGCTTAAAGTTGTGGAACCAGCCTGTGCTAAACACACTCTTTTTCAGGCCTTCCTTCCTAATCACACACTGTTTTAAACAACTGTAAGGCCTTTTCCCTATTTAAGATGAAATTAAGTGGTGCAGAGTGTATCCTGCGGGCGAACCGTGCTCCAAATTTTTTCCCCTCCCGCAAACTGAACTGTCTTAAGTTAATTTTACAAAGTGTTATACAAGAATATGCCACAATTCTTCAATAGTGCTATAACCAAAACATGCCAGACAAAACCGTGTTAAACAACTGTCTACTGTACTACATACATACATACATCTTCTTTCAACAAACCGGCCTTATCCCACCGAAGCAGGATGGCCCAAAAAGAAAAACAAAAGTTTCTCTTTTTAACTTAAGTAATGTATATAGGAGAAGGGGTTACCAGCCTTTGCCCCCAGCATTTTAGTTGCCTCTTACAACACGCATGGCTTACGGAGGAAGAATTCTGTTCCACTTCCCCATGGAGACAACAGGAAATAAATAAGAACAAGAACTAGTAAGAAAATAGAAGAAAACCCAGAGGAGTGTGTATATACATGTATATGCTTGTACATGTATGTGTAGTGTGACCTAAGTGTAAGTAGAAGTAGCAAGACGTACCTGAAATCTTGCATTTTTTTTTTTTCAACCAACTGGCCGTATCCCATCAAGGCAGGGTGACCCAAAAAAGAAAAACGAAAGTCTCTCTTTTTAAATTTAGTAATTTATATGGGAGAAGGGGTTACTAGCCCCTTGCTCCCGGCATTTTAGTCGCCTCTTACAACACGCATGGCTTACGGAGGAAGGATTCTGTTCCACTTCCCCATGGAGATAAGAGGAAATAAATAACAACAAGAACTAGAAAG